GGTGGGGGGGGGTGGGAAACAAGTGGATGTTTCAGTTGTGCTGAAACATCCACTGCCCTGTATATCAATTTGTTTCCAGCTTGTACTCATTTTGATTTGTGTTTAGTAATTTGCTTCTCTGTCGCACACTGAGGTCCCATCATGACAGCACATTTATGCCCACACACACTTCTCTGCCTGCTTCCACGATCGACAAGGGATATTATTCTCTGGGCTTCATTTTATATAGCCGTGTGACAATTCATAAGAAACCAAGTAACCATGTGATTAGGTAGAGCATATATTACATTGAGGGACAGTAGTGCTGGGGAGTTGATTATTTTTGCAAAATGTGTTACGCAACGAGAAACATGTCAAAAGGGCTTTTCACACTGCGCTTCCTAACCCTGGGTCATTTTAAAACCCTCTTTTAACCATGGGTAAAGGAATGTTTCACACGTGTTACTTGGATTGCTGTGCAGTCTTCGAATGTTATGACTAGATGCTTTGTATCCGTGTTTCGTTGTATCGCATGCTTTGGACAGTCACAGAAACACTGAAAATTGTATAAGCAGTAGTTTCATTGATTGAGAATTAAAAAGGTTAAATGATGGAAAATGCATCAATTGGAGTGAAAACGTGGCCATTTTATTCTCCCATTTATAGTTCATAAAGGAAAAACTTAAAGGGGTCATATGATGCTGCTAAAAAGAACATTATTTTGTGTATTTGGTGTAATGAAATGTGTTTATGCGGTTTAAAGTAAAAAAAACAAGGCAATATATAATATGAGGATGTGCAATAGTAGTGCCTTTATGTAAACAGGTTGCATGCTGCATTCATTTATTGAAATTAGAACGTTAACCCGGGGTTTGTGAATGTACGGTTTGAAACTTCAGTTTATGATTACCCAGGATTAATTCTTAACCCCAGGTTTATGAGTAGTGTGAAACGTGAAGCAAGACAACCCAGGATTCCTTTTATCTGGGGGTTTAGAATGACCAAAAATTAACTATTTCTTGTGTGAAAAGCTCTAGATAGTAGTACACCTTTAATTCTGTGAATAGTGGTAATAAAAGTCAGACATTAAAATCTTGCATTTTTAATCCAATTTTGTTTACAAGCACAATTCCCTGGTGGTTCAATCAATTAATAATTCAAGACAAAGATGTTAAAAACACAACTAATACTATTTTGGAGACAGACGGTCAAGTCATTTACATTGCAATGTGGGATACTGTATCCTGCACAGTGTGCTACTGTATCTTCTTTACTGAAATTTTTGCCAAAAGTATACTTGATCATCCAGGTATTACAAGCATAACAATTTGAGTAGGCTATGGTAGTAATCCTACATAATTAGCACATCTTCATAATCTACTGACAATTCAGTTTTTTTCCAATCAGGAATCAAACTTTCGAATAAAATTGATGAAGATTGTAAACAAACACTCATGTACTTCCTAATTACACAACCCTTTGGCTGATCACCCATCTCTTTTCTCCAGCTCTCACTGGCTGTCTCTGACTTGATCTCACGCACTCACAGATTCAAAGGAAGTGTCCTAGAAAACACCACCTCACCTCTGTATGAAGGACAACACAGTCTGTATTTTTCTTCTTCTTTAGAACAGGAAGGGACTAGTCATCTTTAAACACACACACTTAAAACCTAGTGGCAGAGGCAGCAAGTCATCAAGTAGACTACTTAATACACTTTGAGCAAATTTTAAGTCAGCGTCACATATAACTTTTACAAATAAATAAATAAATACATTTAAAAAAGGGCAATCCCAGAATGCATTGCAAGGAGCTCAGTGAAACACAACATCCAAGATGGCGGACAAGGAAAGAGAAAAAAAAAGATCAGTGTACTTTAAATCTGATTTTTTTTTTCCTACATTTGCTTGTTTTGGGTATTATGTTCATTATAATACAGCTGTGTTAGCTTAGTAACTTGCTAACATCATGCTCCATTAAAATCAATTGCAAGTCAAGTCTCCCATGCAAAGCTCAGTTTGTTTGCCACACAGAGTTGCTGCCTACGTAGCGTCCTCCAAATTAGTGAGGGTAGACGGTTAGGATGCTGTCTTAGAAGGCAAAACCTAGGTTATTTATTGCTATTTGAAACAGAGTAAATACATTTTCACATTGTCTAATTTTTCATTTCCTCTATCCTCAGTGCTGTGTAAACATATCTAACTCTGTGAATACATATAGATTATGTGGCATAATATTTTGCTGTGTTTTTGTGTGAGTGTGTGGGTAACAGTGAGATTGTGCGCTTTGAAACAGCTCTTCATCTCAAGTGTTTCAATCTCAACCCCTCAGCATGTCGGTGTCAATTCCATCCATACAAATATGACTTTTCTCTCGCTCTCTCCCTGTCGCTCTCTCTTTCTCTCACATGCAAACATAATGTATTCTACATAACAGTGAGATTTCATTAATCATACATAGACAATTCTACAGTACAGCTATGAGGCAGATGTTGCTGGTTGCTCTGTTTAACGATAGCGCCACATATAATAAGTCTTGTGTTGTGCCATGTCTGGTTGTTGTTGTTTCCTTTTCTTCTCTGTCTCTCTCATCCTCTGCTGCGTCTTTGTGTATAGCTGTTATCCTACCTTATTGTCTGGCATATTGTGTTGAGATGCTCTTATCTGGGCTTCTGCGGGATGATTTGATGCTCTGGTCTGATCTGTGAAATAATTTGTGTGTGCTTTTGCCTGCTGGCTACATTAGCTTATGATTGGCCTCTCTGCACTCGGCTGGATTCTGTTACGGTACTTGATGCTGTGCTTAGACACTCAGATTCAGATGTGCTTTATCTCCACGATAGCTCTGGTCCAAAACCTACAGTAGTGAGCTGCCTCTGTTGGGAACTGTCTGTGTGTGTGTGTGTGTGTGTGTGTGTGTGTGTGTGTGTGTCTTCCAGTTCATTACAATTCTCATTATATTCTGTTTACATTACATTACTTACTATAACCACAGCAAGTATTGCTTTTTTTTCTGTTTTTGTTTAATTTTCACTACTGTTCAAAAGTTTGGGTTCAGTAAGACATACATTGATTGATTGATTGATTGATTGATTGATTGATTGAAATAAGTCTCTTCTGCTCACTAAGGCTGTGTTTATTTGATCAAAAATACAGTAAAAATAGTAATATTGTAAAATAGTTTTACGTTTTAAAAATGTTTTTATTTTAATATATTTTAAAATGTAATTTATTCTTGTGAGGCAAAGCAAAATTTTCAGCATCATTACTCCATTCTTCAGTGTCACATGATCCTTCAGAAATCATTCTAATATTCTGATTTGGTGCTCGAGAAACATTTCTTATTATTACAAATTTTGAAAATAGTTGTGCTGCGTACAGGGGCGCAATAACAGGGGGGAAGGTTAGGACGATTCCAAGGGCCTGACAACGGAGAGGGGGCCTGGAACACGATTTTTACAGAGGGGGCCCAGAAACCATAGCGGCGCCCCTGGCTGCATAATGTAGAAACCACTTTTCTTTTCTTTTCTTTTTTCCAGGATTGCTTGACGAACAGAAAGTTCAAAAGAACAGAATTTATATGAAATATAAAGAACTTTTGTAACATTATAAATATCTTTACTGTCACTTTTAATCCGTTGTCCTAAATAAAATAATTATTTATTTAATTAACATTAACTGTTGTGGTATATATAAGCACATTATATATTTAATTGTTTGCATGTTATTTTATGTATTTCTAAGAACTTAATTTTGCTGCCTACTAAAACATCAAATTTTGCTAAATAAATTTGTATTATAAATATATCTTATTAAATACTAGAAATATAGATAAATTAACAGTTAATATAGCTAAAATAATGAATATAGCTAAATTAATAAATAAATGATAAATGCTGAATAAATTAAATTAGCTTTTTTTTTTTTTTTTACAAATTTTAGGATGCTATGCATATTTATATTTATTTGTATTTTATGTTTTGTATGACACTGCCTATGTAGGTTGTTCCAAATAAATAACTTATGACATTCTGCCCAAGTGTTTTGTTGCCTTAGTAATATATAATGTTATCTTAGAAGGTAGCTGTCTATGTAGTCAGCAAGGTGGTTCACTATGTTTTGGTACGGAGCTATTGTGTTTTGTTGTGAAATAATGCTGGACTATTGCTTCAGCCACAGCCACAGACTGATCGTTCCTTCCCTAAGGAAAGTCTCGTCTGGCCTCCTCAGCTCTCTATTTTTCTTTCTTTAGTTTAGTTCCATTTCTCCTCTGTCCGTGCTGTTCTGTATTAATGAGGGGGGCTATTTCATCTCCTGTTGCGGCTGCTCCGTCCTGATTGTGTTTTCATTGTTCTTTATTTCCTCACCATTTTTCACAGGTTTTCTCTGACAGGGCTGCGGTCTCCAGTGTAGATCTGACCTGATTACAGGGGAGCTGTTTTCGTGTGTGTGTGTGTGTGTGAGAACATCACAACCGTAGGGACAGAGGGAATCTGTTGCACGCAACCTCCATTTACACGCGGCCATTGCCGCTAGCTACGAGCAAGAGATAGAGATAAAATAAAATATAGAGAGAGAAAGACAGAGAGGGAGAGAGCAACCATGGATTTTCCATTAAATGAAAAGTGGATAACAGCTTGTGTGATTATGTTGGTAAGCAGGATGGTGGTGTTGACATGCCGTATGAGCCAAAGCCTGAGGGTGGAGAATACACAAACTCTCACTTATAGAAGAGGTCTCTCCGTCAGCCTGAGAGTCCACAAACACCAGAGACAGGAAAAAAGAGGGGGAGGAGGAAGTGAGGTAGAGGATAAGTGAAAAATCAACAGGTTCCAATTTCACTTTTAAAAATAGGTTCCTCGCAGCACCCTAAAGGAACAAATAACCTATAAGGAGCCACTTATGTTGTAGAATATATATAAAAAAAATTAAAAAGTCTGGGGTCAGTAAGAAGCAAACACACATTAAGTTGATCTAAAATGAAAGTAAAGACATTTATAATGTTACAACAACAAGAACAATGAAAACTAATTAAATGAATGCTGCTATTTTGAACTTTCTATTCATCAAATAATCCTGCTATCAAGGTTTTCATAAAAAATATTAATCAGCACAACTGTTTTCAACATTGATAATAATAAGAAATGTTCTTGAGAAGCAAATCAGCATCAGCATATTTAAATGATTTCTATAGGATCACTGAAGCCAGGAGTAATGATGCTGAAAATTCAGCTTTGCATCACAGGATTAAATTACCTTTTAAAATGTATTAAAATTGAAAAGAGTTATTTTAAATTATAATAATATTTCACTATATTGCTGTTTTTACTATGTTTTTGATCAAATAAAGCAGCAATGAGAGACTTCTGTCAAAAACATTTTACTAAAAATCTTGACCCCAAATTATTGGAAATATGAAAGTGAAAAAAAAAATTTAAGTAAAATGCTTTATGAACACTGTTTCATGTCGACATTAAGAGTGTAGGTCTGAAAACCAAATCTCAGTCAGAATCATAGATCACACTTTAAGACTTATATCATGTGACAATTCCAATAAAGCTCAGCTTCGTAGAAGCAGCCATTAACTTTTCATCTGTATATGTTATTCCTCAGTTCTTCTGCAAGCTGCATTTGAAAAACCAGGCTCAGATATTCAACAAAGAAGCCCCTATTCCCTGTCTCTCTCTGGCTCTCTGCTGTTTATCGTGATACACTCTCGGCTTTCTTTGCTCTGGGTGGGTACAGTGAGGTTATGGGTAAAAAGACTTCAGGAAGTAGCATTTGTGTTTTTCAGCTTCCATCAGATAAGTGTCTCCCAGAGAGAAAACACATTTGTGCTGTTTCCTTTTGTTTTCTGATTTCAAAGCAGCTACCTCTGAATCTATAAACATGGGGCAGTTGCAACACAGCCGAGGTGAGAGATTGATTATTTTTTTATGCTTTCCTCTCTGTCTCAGGGCCATGGGCTGCTCGTAACAGCAGCATAGATATGGGCAGCCTAGAGGTGGGCAGGCGCGTGACCCAGGAGGTGCCGCCCGGGGTGTTCTGGAGATCCCTGATGCACCTCAGCCAGCCTCAGTTCCTCAAGTTCAACATCTCCTTGGGCAAGGATGCACTCTTCGGGGTTTACATTCGCAAAGGGCTGCCGCCGTCCCATGCACAGGTGCGCACACCCTTTCTATTTACAGAGGCCACTCTGTGAAGTCTTTTTTATGGATAAAAACCCCTCTTTCATCCCAACAACGGATCAATCAGTCACTGCAAATACATTTTAGAAGTCACCAGGTGTTAGATAAAATCATTCCTACAGCTCAACTTCAAAGTATCTCACTGTTTGATATGTATGAATGCTGTCAAACCACTAGAGATCACGAAAAAATAAAAACGTCCCCTCTCGTTTCCCTTGTTTCTGCGTTTCTCCCTCTGCAGTATGACTATATGGAGCGTTTGGATGGAAAGGAGAAATGGAGCGTAGTGGAGTCGCCCCGTGAGAGACGCAGTATTCAGACGGTGGTTCTGAACGAGGCCGTGTTTGTACAGTATCTGGACCCCGGCACATGGCACCTAGCTTTCTACAACGACGGCAAGGAGAAGGAATCGGTCTCCTTTAGCACAGCTGTTCTGGGTCAGTTACTCTAACACTGGTTAAACTCTCCATTATACATTTACTTCAAACACTCACTATATCACCCAACTGTGACATTTTTATTTGAAATGAGAAAATGCAATAAATTTGTTGTGATAAGCAAGCATGTAAATATATATATTTTTATATAAAAAGTGTTTTACAACAAAATATAAAGCCAAAAATATTAAGCAACAAATCTGATCAACATTGATAATTATAATACAAATTTCATCAGCACCAAATCAGCATATTAGAATGATTTCTGAAATATCATGTGACCCTGAAGACTGGTGTAATGGCTGCTGAAAATTCAACTTTGCCATCACAGGAATAAATTACATTAAAATATATTAAAATAGAACACTGTAATTTTGCATTGTAATAATATTTCAAAATATTACTTTTTTACTGTAGTTTTAATCAAATAAATGCAGCATTGGTAAGCATAAGAGACTTCTTCATACTAATCATACCAAACCCAAACTTTTGAAGGGTAGTTTGTTTAAAAAATTAAGCATAAATAAATAAAAATAAAAAATAAGAGCATAAAATGCAACGTCCTTGCATTGTGACATTGAATTGCACATGCTTTTACGAACAATTTACACAGAAATTTGTATTTCAAACTTGTATTTCATAAATTAGGTCTAATAAAAGACCAGTTAATTTTGAAACATTAATATTTTGGACAATTGGATTTATAGGTTTTAGTCTCTATAGAATTACAGATAAATGCTTCCTTGCCGTCTAGTAAAAAGGAAATCATTAAATAATGTCAATCTATTACTGTTATACCATTTCATATATATTATTATCCACTTGAAATGAGATAAGCACCTCGTGGCTCTGTTCTATGAATATTCACATGCATGAATTCTACGAATAAGTGGTGTCTCACCAATTAACCTTGCACTAATCTACTGTGATATGGCCTACTTTCATTGCCGTGATATTACTCATGGCTAATGAAATGGTGTGAGACGCTGTTTGAATGGGTTGTATCAATAATGACCAGAGACCGCCACTCAGAAATAGAGTGAAAGAGGGACAGAAAACTCAACTGAGAGAGAGAGAGGGAGAGGGAGGGAGGAAGCAGTAGAAGAGAAGACAAGATGAGAGCTGGATGTGGTGGTTACAGCTGTCATTACCATCAAAGTGGCCTTTTTTAGAAAGGTTTCATTCTTTTCACAGACTCTGTGCAAGAGTGTCCCCGCAACTGTCATGGTAACGGAGAGTGTGTGTCAGGAGTATGTCACTGTTTCCCGGGGTTCCATGGCATGGACTGCTCGAAAGGTAAGAGACACTCCAATTACACCCCGAACTCTGTCGTACAGCAAGAGAGAGAGCTTGAGGAAAAAATAGCGACAGAGAGAGAGAAGTGAGAACAATTTTTACTTCCCTGTCACTCATACTAGAGAAATGGAGAATGATCCATTGAATTCGTATTTAAAAGTGTAGTTCACCCAAAAATTATCATTTTGTCATCTTTTATCCACCTCATGTCGTTCCAAACCTGTGTGACATTCTTCTTTAGAAAAACTGCAATGGAGCACTCTTATGAAGTCATTTTGGAACTTGACAGCTCAGACCTTGAAAGGAATGACTGAGATCAACTGCAACAAGTCACCATTATTCCACAAAAGAAAGTCATTCAAATTTACAATAACATGAGGATGAGTAAATAATGACATCATTTTCATTTTTGGGTAAACTGTGCTTGGAAACGGTGGATTAGCCTTAGCATTAGAGACATACTGAGCTATAGTGCTTATGCTGGAGACTGAGGTTCTCTGTCCTTTTCTCATCCCCATCAATCTTCTCACCGTCATTTATTGTTATCTCTGTACTTTGCCTGTCAGTAAAATGCAAAAAAAAAAAAAGCAACATAAAGCATGCATACTAAGGTCTAGACAGACATAAAGAAAAGAAAAGCATGCAAAAACACATGCAAAGGGGAACAGCACTAAATTGTTGCCAGAATGGCACCAGCAGTGGGATTTAAAAAACTGAACACATCAAAGATGTGTGTTAATCTCAGCGGTCCCAATGCCTGTAGACACTCAACAGCCTTGGGTTTAGCCCAAGAGTCCAGACACCCTCTAGATGAGTGTGTATATGGGTGTGTGTTTCTGACCTAACTACCGGTATACGTTTTGGGACCAATTTGGTTAAATAATTCCCAACTTAATTTATGGACCATCATCAGAAGGATAAATGGTTCATAAATAGACTAAATAACATCTTTATTCAACTCCGAAACTGACAAAAGTTTAAGAGGTAAGAGATAGTCTGTAGTAGTTATAATTAGCTGAGAACGACAGATGTCAATGGGAAGTCCCCATTTAGATAGCTGGGTAAGTGTGTGTGTGTCCTCAATAGCCCCCAAAAAAATTCATTTGCACAGTTTGCATACTTTCCTATTGAGAAGGTGCTTTACTGTAGTTCTATGACTCATCAAGAAACTAAGATCTATGTGTTAGTGGAGGTCTCTCTCTCTCTCTCTCTCTCTTTCCAAGGCATAAGGATGACGAATGGTGGTTCCTACAGCCCAATATCTCCCATTGTTCACCTGGGAAGCTCATGATTAATAGTTTTGTTACTGCAATGTTAAATTACATTTTCTTTTATTACAGTTTTCTCCAACCTATCACAGCTGTCCACTCCCTCTGCTACTGCTGACCCTCTGCGTGTGTGTGTGTGTGTGTGTGTGTGTGTGTGTGTGTGTGTGCGTGTGTGTGAAAGGGTCTGAATACTTAGGACCATGTGATATTTCAGTTTTTCTTTTTTAATAAATCTGCAAAAATGTCAACAATTCTGTGTTTTTCTGTCAATATGGGGTGCTGTGTGTACATTAATGAGGAACAAAAATTAACTTAAATGATTTTAGCAAATGGCTGCAATATAACAAAGAGTGAAAAATTTAAGGGGGTCTGAATACTTTCCGTACCCACTGTATATGGATAAAAGCAGCTGCTAAATTTATAAATCTTACAACTATAATTTAATTTTGCAATCAAACAAAAGTCAGAATAAGATAATATTCTACCAAACTGATTGTAGTTGAAAGTAAGTTTGGTGCCTAAAGCTTAAGTTTTGGTTATTTATTTTTTTTACATCATATGTTCTCAGTGTGAGCCTTTTCTGAACACATTGTTGTCAGATGTGTGCTCTTTCCCTGTATCACACCATTCAGAGACACATCTATGACCACAACTGCCAGCTTTTTTCTCAATCTCTTCGTAAACTTACACAGATTCTTTGTAAACATACTGAAAATCTCTTTAGAGACAAAACATTGCAAAATAAATCATTAAGAAAGCATCAGATGTCACTCATATCAAATCATTCCCTGTTCTCTTTCTGTTTCTTCCCAAGCGGCGTGTCCAGTCCTATGCAGTGGAAACGGTCAGTATGACAAGGGATCGTGTATCTGCTATAGTGGATGGAAGGGTCCGGAATGCGATGTTCCCATCAGCCAGTGCATCGACCCCCAGTGTGGCAGTCATGGCGCGTGCACAGAGGGCACATGTGTTTGTTCTCTGGGCTACAAAGGAGAGAATTGCGCTGAGGGTAAGCCTATGTGTATGTGTGTGTGCATGTGTGTGTGTGTGCGTGATAATGTAGCTTTGTATAGATGTTGTTTCTTTCTCAATGGCTTAATAATACCCTCTATGGCTGTAATAGCTGTATTCTGTCCATGTGGCTACTTGAAAAGGGAAACACACATTTTCAAATATTCAAACAGTCATCTTTGGCTGTTTCCCCAGATTCACTGGTAGGTCTTAATGGGCTCCCACAAAAAATACCTCACAGAGATGAGTAAAAGCTGGAAAATATATTGATCTGGGTGGTGAGAACAATCATTTCGGTCTTGATTCTTTGTGCGTGTGTGTGTGTGTGTGTGTGTGTGTGTGTGTGTGTGTGTGTGTGTGTTCTGTAAAGTTCAGTGGCTTTTGGGTAAGACAGTGAGTGACAATAAGAGAGAGAGGAAAACGAGAAGTCCCATGAGTCTAAAAATGGAAAGTGAAGAGAAAGAAAAAGGTAGAGACAGAAGAAAAAAGCTGAGGTACTGTATAAGAGGACAAAGGGAGAGGCTGGGATGAAAACAGCTAACAAACATAGAAATAGGTTGATGGAAAACAGAGTTTCAGAAAGTCTTTGCTGCTCATTACAGAGAGACAGTGATGGCAGCTAAACAAACAAACAGAACAACAGAAGCCTTGCATATTAATGCTTTCTAATTCTCATTCTCTAAATCCCTAATTCTTTATCAACAGTCTGGCATCAAGTCCCAAATTAAAGTGTTTAGAGGGGGATTGAAGATTTTTAAATGAATTATTCACCTAAAAATGAAAATTCTGTCATTGGTTACAAATACACACATATTTTTTTGTGTTCATGTAACACAAAAGGAAATATTTAAGAAATATGTATTTCTTTTCAATAAAATGAAAGCATATAACCCACAAGAGGTCATGAGGCACCATGAATAATGACAAAATTAACAATTTCTTTAGATGTGTATGTCAGTCAGGTTTTGCATTTTGAGGTGCAAATGTATATAAATAACAGGACCATGATATTTCCAATGAGGATATTAATGTCTAAATGAACATCTAAAAATGCAAAAAGGTTTGTGTCACGGCTAGGTTTAGATTATAGGAAATATCATTAACTCGATAAGAAATAAGCAACAAATGTATGTGTATAAAAAGAGAGAGAGTGTGTGTGTGTTTTAGTGGGGCATGAGGAACTTGAGGTGTTGCAGATCACAAGGTCAGCACATTTTTTTTCCCCGGCCATTCTAAGATTTCTCAAATTAGATATTCATCACAGCAGAGTCACTCAAACAATTTACCTGAAGTGCCGGTGACACAGAAATCGATATCCATGATGTGCAGTTTCTGCAGCATAAACATTTGGCATGAATGGCTTTATGTGCGTGAGAGGAAAGGAGCAGCACTTCTGTCAGCCGAGGGGGGCTGAGACAGGGGTGTCACGCAGGGCACCTCAGGGCCGGGTAATTTGTCAAATGGCTTTCTCACACTTTTCATGGCCAGATCTCTTCTTTCGCTCAGCAGTCAATATCAATTTTTTGAGGCACTCCGGATGGAACATGTGAGAGACAGGGTCAAAGTCAAAAAGAGAGAGGAAGGGAGAGTAAGAAAGACAGACGGAGATGCTGAGAAAGGGAGGGTTTGAGAGGTGAGTGTGAAAGGCTCTAGAAAGGAAACTGCCATTCTCACACTTAAGGTGTGGGATATTGATTTTTCATGCTTAGATGAAAGACGTAGTATGTGCTTGTGCATGCTTTCTTCAAAATCCCAGAAAGCCCAGTTATGTGTGATTATACATCCCTTTGTACTTTGAATGTTCTCAATATCTAAAGATATACAGTGAGGCTAATAGTAATTTGGTAACTGGTCTAATAATTAATTAAATATGTAAATAAATGGGAAAACAGGACATTGATTATTAAAGTTGTAGTTTGTGGCTTTTACATCACATTTACTAGCTTTTAGGCTAGTGTAGTAGTGTAACCCTAAAATTCTAAATTAAATTTTTAGCACACAAATTAATTTACAATGTACAGTCTTTCCTTCTCCTATGACCCATCTTGCACTCACTAATTTTGTCCAATCAAATGCTGCATAGAATAAACAATGTCCGTCCTGCTGATACCACTTTTGATTAGAAATAGCAAGTCGAAAATTCATGATCATGACTGTGCATGACTGCATCCGAAATCAAATACTTCCCTATGTGTAATGTCTTTCCTTCTCCTATGACCCATCTTGCACTCACTAATTTTGTCCAATCAAATGCTGCATAGAATAAACAATGTCCGTCCTGCTGATACCACTTTTGATTAGAAATAGCAAGTCGAAAATTCATGATCATGACTGTGCATGACTGCATCCGAAATCAAATACTTCCCTACTATAGTATGTGAAAAACAGTATGCCAAAAGAGTAGTATTTCCAAATTCATACTATTCAAAAAACAGTAATCTACTACTGCCTGGATTGTGAATTGCGCAGTTGATGGACACTTTACTATCCCATGAGGCCACGGGAGAGGATTTATGAATGGCAGTGAACTTGTAAGTCACGTGACAGTAACAACATGGCGGATGTAGTACATCTGAATTTCATTCATGCTACCATATTTATAGTATATAGAACATACTTTTTAATGGTCTCAAAGTAAGTTCAAATTCAAATGTAGTACCCTGACTCAGTACTGTATGTTCTCAGACAGTATGCGATTTCGGATGCACCGTTGACCTTTAAACGATTCCTGTATACGATGGCGCCGCAAATGGCAGCCAGGACGCTGAGCTCCGCGATTCTTCTATTGTTTTTGTTTGAAACGGGCAAGTCCTTCAATATGTCCCACCCCAACTTCCATTTTCAATAAATATTATGTCAACACAGGAAAGAAAACTGAGTTTATAAAGCAGTTTATAAAGCAGTATCATTGGGTTTTTTATCTTTCTGACTGATGAAGCCTCAGTCATGACTCTCACCTTTTGTACACAGTTGACTGCCTGGATCCAACCTGCTCAAATAATGGCATTTGTGTAAATGGGGAGTGCCACTGTAAACCAGGCTGGGGTGGACCAAGCTGTGAGCTGCCCAGAGCACAATGCCCAGATCAGTGCCACGGTCATGGTGCTTTTATTCCAGACACAGGCGTCTGTAGCTGTGACCCCAATTGGATGGGCCCTGATTGTTCTGTCGGTCAGTCTGCATGTTTGATTGGATCTCAGTAATACAAATGTTTAATTTAATTATACCTGATTTCTAATGTATGATATGTAAATAGTGATTTTACTGCTGTATCCTTTTCTCATCAGAGGTTTGCTCAGTTGACTGCGGGACACATGGCGTATGCATGGGTGGCTCGTGCCGTTGCGAGGAGGGCTGGACGGGTGCAGCGTGTGACCAGCGTGTGTGTAACCCACTCTGTGTGAAGCACGGCACCTGTAAAGATGGGAAGTGCGAGTGTGAACAGGGCTGGAACGGAGAACATTGCACCATCGGTAGGCATGCACCCACCCCTGACCCAGGCACAGACATTTTCCTGCTCCCTATACTCACCATTGCAACAGATGCCACAGCACTGTATCTACACTGCCTCTATTGCTTTCATGAACATTATATAGAGTCCCTCCTTTTTTCTGTGCTTGAAGCTTAACATGAGAGGGACCTGTTTTTGGATCATCCATGTTGGTCCTGGGGCAACAATATTATTAACCAGTCAGATTTTAGGGAAAGGGTTACAGCTGGGTTTAGGTCTAGAACAGTGTTATTATTATTGCTCTCTTATTTTGGACCTAAATTATGGTTTGGGCCAGGGGTGTCCAAACTCAGTCCTGGAGGGCCACTGTCCTGCAGAATTCGGCTCCAACTTACCTCAACACTGCTGCCTGAAAGTTTCTAGTATGCCTATTAAGACCTTGATTAGCTGGTTCAGGTGTATTTAATTGGGATTGGAGGTAAACTCTACAGGACAAACTCTACACCCCTGGTTTGGGCAATGGCTTCTTAAGGACCAGCAAAGGATGTTGATCCAAGAACATGACCTACATGCATGCAGCTCAGGGATTTAGGAGAACTCCAGGAGAAGTTTATACTGGTGGTTCTAGTGATTTTTCTCTTGACTGATCCATCAGGATGGGATATACAGTACAAGACTCTAAAACCAGTAATATTAAGGCCTTTTCCCAAATGCTGCCCAAAATGCTGTCCACAGTTTGGTAATATAAATCCAGAGGGATTGTAGTCTGCTGTAGAGTCCACAAAAGAGTGCATCAATAAATGCTGTAGCGGCAACAAAGAGGGCCCTCATGAGCACCCATCTAAATGCTAAAAATTAAAAAATGGGATACCCTACGGCCACCTTCCAGCAGAGTTTAATTCTAAGCCTTCCAGGCAGATGTGTTGGAGCTAAACTCCATAGGAAGATGACCCTTCCAGAGCAGGATTGAACACCCCTTCCCTACATTCTTGTGAAAATGAAAGAAACATTCAAGTGACAGCCATTGCATGACTTCAAGTACAAATCAAATGCATCATTTGACCCAAATCATTGTCAATTTCAAAAATGTATAAGATTTTTCAAAATTTCTAATTAAAACAATAGAATAAGAACAAGTAGAATAAGAAAAGTTACAAATTAAATGAAATCAACATCAACAAAATTCATTTGCACTACAGAGGTGGCACAGAAGAACACAAAAGTGGCTTGTAGGTATATTTACAGACGTTTAATGAGGCTCAGAGGTGGGATGAGTGCAATTAAATTCATGTTGAGATAAATGTTTTAAATATAAAATTTGGAATATAGAAATATTAAATGATTTAAATAACTGAAATTATATTTTAAAAATGAAACTAAAACTGCCAGTAGGTGACGGCAAGTCACTGATTTTATCACTGAATCATTGATTCAATTGATTCGTTCGAACGGCTGATTCATTCAGGAATGAAGCAAGTGACTGTCTTTATGAATGGGTAATTGAATCATTGACTCACTAGATTTGTTTAAAAATGCACGTTCATTCATAAATGAAACACCACTGTATTTGTTTGGAGATGTGCAGCGGCTCAGCTATGACTTTGTTTGAAACTATTTTTGTTGACGAAATAGAGCAAAATCAGGCGTTTTAGTCAGTTCATGTAAGTCACTTAAATATTAACTTCTTGTTTATTGAACTGTTGTAGTAAATTAATATCATATTTGCAAACTCCTTTAATAATCATTAAAAGCTGCCACTCACCTTAGTTCATCGCGATCTCACAAAGTTCCTTTATAGTCAACAAAGCTCTCTACACTGATTTACATTGTGTCTACACTTTGCTTGTTATAATGAGGTGAGTGGTTTAAGGAATCAACAAATATGTCTGTGATACATTACTCAATGCTGTAAAATCACATTGTGAGTAGAAAACTTTGAAGCTCCCCTGAGGTCAAACACAAATATGCTGATCGGGGCAGTCGCACTGGAGCTCCTAAATACTTTTTCATTGTCGCACGCAGTAGTAGACTGTTTCTCTGTCTGGTGTTGGACTGAGAACAGACTTAGTTGAGTTTGATCATGCCTCACACAGCAGAGGCAGATGTGTGGGCTGCTGGGTAATGAACAGTCCTTGCGGAGTAGCAGCGACTGATGAAAGGTACAGGCGTCTTCACCTTGATAAGTCACACCTTTCTTTCTCTCAAAAATAGACTCAAAAGTCAGAGTTTTCCTTTCTCTTATCATCTGTGGATGTGTGTGTGCATGTTTGTCTGTCACTCCAAAGATGACATGAGCGACAAAGACTGAAAGTGCTTTGCCTTTAATCCTTCTCCCCATTGTACGCCACAACAGGAAGTCTGTCTGCTTATTGTCATCAAACTCTTTCTGTAGGCTAAAAAAGCCTTGTAAATGGCTTCCATCTTCAGTTTCCATTTTTATTTCTCAGAATTCCTCTGTTTTTAACTGATTCAAATGCAACACATGTATTCATTTGTCTTCTTGTTATGACACATTTTTGTTCCCTCCGAATGTCCTCTCTGATGCAGACTTTTGGGATGGGAGTATTGAAGGTATTGTACCTCGTCGTACTGTGACTAGTGCTAGCTGCACTTTAGTCTGGTCGTGAGCAACCCCCCCACCTCTGATAGCTTGGCTGCATAACGACTGTGTGCTTTTTTTTGTAGAGTAGCCGTGGTGGAGTAGAATGTCGTGTCGAGTAGGTTCATAGTACTAGTCTGTGTTCTTCAGCGTGTGTGTTTTTATTCTTGTTGTCAGATGATAATAGTATAGCTGTAATCATCTGTTTTGCACCTTGTTGCTTTTTAAATGTCCCTCTCCAACAGCATTAACTGAGCAACGAAAGTCTCCAATCTGTCTTGAGCCACTTATGACATTTCAATTATTCAGAATGTGGGGTAATACTATACATTAGAGCAGAGGTGTCAAACTCAATTCCTGGAGGGCCAGAGCCCTGCAGAGATTAGATTCAACCCTAATTAAACACACCTGATCCAACCAATCAAGTCCTTATTTGAACACATGGTATGTGTGTTGGAGCAGGGTTGGAACAAAACTCTGCAGGGCTCCGGCCCTCCAGGAATTGAGTTTGACACCCCTGCATTAGATTGTCCATGTTAGTAGTCAGTAAGCAGACATCTTAAAGGGGTCATAGGGTGCTACATGCACTTTTACAAGTTGTTTGAACTGAAATGTGTGTTGGCAGTGTGTGTACACAACCACCCTATAATGATAAAAATCCACCCGGTGTTTTTTTTTTTTATCTTGTTAAATCTTTACCTTTCTCAAATCGAGCTGATCTCAGATGCCTGTCTATGTGAGTCAGCAGAGCTCATTAACATTTAAAGGGAAATGCTACAAAAACGGCTTGATCTGAAAAGAGCTGTTTTTGACAGGGTAAAAAAAAGTGTTTTTACACTACCATTGAGAAATTTTAACCAAACTATGTACCAGACTTTTCATTAAGACCCTAAAGAATCATATCAACTTGTGGAAAATGGGCATCATATGACCCCTTTAAATGTCTACCATGACTTATCCCCAGTAAGCTGGGGATAAATGTTTTGCTCAAGTTGATGATTGAGTCAAAGCGCAATTCATGACATATAATAATAAATCTCAATGCCAATGCAACCGGTTCTGCTCGACCAAATCTGAGCAGGGCTCAAACCGGGAGCAGCCAGCATTGGGAGGCAGGCACACTAACAAGGATGCTGAAGACTGAAATCTCTAGTGTCAGCTGCTAGTGCCTCTTGAGGGCAAGGGGAGTGAGATTTACCTGCACAACTCCCCCTAGCTGGCCCAAATCATCATGGTACAGCTCAGTGTGTCTACTGTACTTAGGACTTTATGAATCCTACTTGGCAATGGCTTGGCTCATTAATGTTAACTTGGTAATTGGATGGTAATCTTGCAATGTCAGCATGACACGAAGATTCATGAGCCAAGTGATTGCCATGTTGTCACAACCAGCCAGTCTTACAGGTCTGTGAGGTCTGCCAATCAAGACGGAGCAACAGTTTGAAAAGAATCTTGCAGAGCCAGTTAGATCTTATAACGTGTTTTTAACTAGCTAACTGAAAAGAACACACTTGGTTTAATGACATTTCAAGTTAATTCTGTCGTGTCCTCCTGAGTAATACGCTTTGTTACCACCGCTGTAATGCAGGAACCTTAACTATGCACAACAGCACCACACTTTTGCAATGCATTGGCTGAGCAAATGCGTTTGCATACTTGAGTGTTTGTTTATGAGTCTTACAGTAACCTAAAAGTCTTTCTTTTGATAGGTAGGATTTATTTCTGCATCTTTGAAGCAATGATGCCATAAAATGTATTAAAGGACCAGTCTCTCTGGAGCAACATGAGGTTAAGAGCCTTGCTCAAGAGTACAATAGTGATGGCTTCTTGAGGCAGTTGGAACCGACAAACTTCGAGTTAATAGACTTGAGCTGGAACCACTACAGTACACCACCCCCATTCCCTCCAACTTTTAAAGGAGCAGAGCTGGGTAAACTACATGACTCTAAGCATAATGGGAATGCTTGCATTTAAGTAGACTGCAGTTTCAACTAGAGGCACAGCAGCACACACCAGGACACACCAGCTCCTAGCAGTCTGTTTGAGTCTGCCTTTATGTTTGCACAGAACAGCGACGCAGGAGGCAAGTCGTCCTACACTTCCATCAAGTCTGCTTCAGACAAAAGAGCTAAATTACAGAGGACACTGCGGGGTGGAGACAAAGATCAAGTAGATTTTGCTCTACCTGAGGGATATAGATCACTACTGCGAGTAAAGGGATCGGGAGAGAGTGGATCCTAAGATAAATGTGAAATTTCATGAGCTGTCGGTGCAGAGTTGGTCAGGAGCAGTGAGCAACGTTTTAACTGTGCATATTTCAGCACACAGGGTGCAGGACCACAGGAGGCATGGTAATGACTTTGTCTCAGTGCCTGCCTGAGTTCCGACTCATAGGATGAATACTAATGGAGGGGCAGGAGTGTGTGTGCTTTTCTGAGAAGGGGAGTGCGGTGTGTTTGCAGGGAGAGCAGGATAACAAGGAGTTTAACCACAGGGCCCACAGTGATCACCTGAGTGTGCATGCATCATTGGACAGGAGCAAGTCTGGCACAAGAGCTAGTGACAATAGTATATATAGTTTATATTCACATCTCTAATTGGCCGAAATGATTGCAGATGAATGACCGCTGGAGGCATGAACTCTGTATGCTAGGGTATACTAAGTGGAAGCGAGTTGCACATGGCTCATGGGTGGAAACCACGCCCACCCTAGGTAAAGAAGCATTACCTTTACCTGTACTTTACCTGTACCTCTGGATATCCTTTTAAGGAATGACAGTTGTTAACGCTGCAATGCACATTTCTGCTAAATTTGTCAAACCAAACAGAAATTGCAGAAACATTTTTAACTGTTAAAATTAATGTTTCCAAACAGGTTTTGCAAACACTTTAGGACTCTGTGAGAACTTGTTCAGCGTGCACAGGACATTACCCTATCTCTGCTGAAGTTCAGAAACCATTTGAGTGAAAATTTTCTACTATTCCCATGCTGAAGTTTAGGATGTTATTTGACTTTGTAGTAATACATGGAACACTATAGGCGAGGAAAATCCAGATAGGGCGTTTTATGCAGTAGGTGCTCACTCCCTGTGGGACTTTATCTGTCTCTTCCTAAGGTGAATTTGGAGGATTTATGAATCTAACCTTTATTTTATGACCTTTAAAGTGGGTGGGATAGTTAGGTGGAGGACTGGATTTCTCTTCCACACGTTCTTTCTCCTCCGTAATATCCCTTCCATCCTTTAAGACATTTATTTCTCCTTTTTCTCATTAATTAAAGCAACATTTAATTTGAGTCACAATGGATGAATGCGTTCCAGTGCATGCTGGGTTTTCACACTCCTCTGGTCGAGGCCATTTCATTTCACTCATCACAAATCATCTGAAGAGTCACCTGCGCTTGGTCAGCTGCCAATAATGCTATATAGCTTTGTGATGAAGGAAACTGGCTCCGTCCAAAAGGCTGTGTTTCCAGGGTAACCATAAGCGGAGGCTGTGACACACTAACAGAAGTGTTAACTGTTAGAGATTGAACTCTGGGGCACCAGCAATGGTTTCTGATGACACAGTGTGAGGTCGCAGCGTGGTTTTCGTTTTACGGACTGGATTTCTCTTCCACACGTTCTTTCTCCTCCGTAATATCCCTTCCATCCTTTAAGACATTTATTTCTCCTTTTTCTTTCTATTTCTTTCTTTCTTTCTTTCTTTTCTTTTGCAGTTTTTTCCCTTTCCACCAATCTATATGTCTCTTTCTATCCATCTCTCCATCCATCAACCACTGACTGTTGCTATGCAGCATGCTTCTTTCCCCATCTCACCTTTGCGTACCTCTCTCATACCGTGTGCGCTGACCCATAACTCAAGGCAATCTCAGCTCCTTTTTAAGTAGATTACAATAGAGTCAACCCACATTACTTTAGCCAGGTGGCTTAATAGTTTGTGAAATCCCACTTTATTCTAGTTAGGGTTCTGAGAATCGACTGGCCTTTGGCATGAAAGAGGGGCCCTGCTCAGTGCTGCCCAATGAGGAAGATCAATGGTCGCCATAGATTTTGCTGTCCTGGTGTTTCATATGTATTTGGCTGCTTAAAATGGCAGCTCCATTTAAAAGGCAATCGTTGCTAAGTGACTTTCCTCTCAGCTCAATATTGAGTGACAGTCGATGCATAGCAGCCTGTTAATGTGGCATCCCAAGGACCCCAGACATTGAGAATTACATTAATTAAAGCAACATTTGATTTGAGTCACAATGGATGAATGCGTTCCAGTGCATGCTGGGTTTTCACACTCCTCTGGTCGAGGCCATTTCATTTCACTCATCACAAATCGTCTGAAGAGTCACCTGCGCTTGGTCAGCTGCCAATAATGCTATATAGCTTTGTGATGAAGGAAACTGGCTCCGTCCAAAAGGCTGTGTTTCCAGGGTAACCATAAGCGGAGGCTGTGACACACTAACAGAAGTGTTAACTGTTAGAGATTGAACTCTGGGGCACCAGCAATGGTTTCTGATGACACAGTGTGAGGTCGCAGCGTGGTTTTCGTTTTACGGGCGAGGTAAGAGATGATGCCCACGGCAGTGCTGAGAATTTTAGAACGCATGTTTTATTTACACGAAACTCCTGATGACTCGGAAATGTCAGGCCACGTCTCTAGGGTGCTTAATTATGGACTGGTGTGGCTAAAGGAGAATAGTGCTTAGCCTTTTCATTTCTCTTTGTGTTTTTTCATCTCAGTCTCTGCCTCTACCAGAGAGAGCTTCCTTAAAACATTCACATCAATCCACGCTCTTCTCAAAACTGTTGTGACAAGATTGTTTTCCGCCTTTTGTCTTTTATGAAGGCTGTTTATCCCCTAACCGCATACATTAAACACCCACACACACGCCACACTTTACTCCAAAAACTTGATATATTTATCAAAGCACTTTTTTTCTCTGTCTTGAAAATGTCTTTAGAATAAGAATAATTCTATGCCTTTATATTCTCCCACACTATGTTCTTATTCAAAAGTCTTTGGTTCTCACACACACACAGGCTCGTACCTCGTACTAAAAAGGCATTCTAATCTGATCTGTAGATTCGGTCAGTCCTAACCACATTCTTACATGAGAGCATTGCTCTCTATCCAGACAAATCAAATCAGCTACTGTAAATGAACAGTCGGAGAGTGTATGTGCTCTTTACAAATATCCCCTCCTGAATGGATGAGTTCTGATAAATTAATTTGCTACCAACAGCGGCTATCAGTGGAGACTACCGAAGATAATTTAATTGCTCTCAGAGTTTGAACTGATTTGAGGTGTGAATAGTAATGCTTTTCATATACTTCATCCCCTCAGACGGACATTGAGCGCATTGGAGGCAGATATGTTTGTGTGTGAGCACTGATGCATGTCTGCCTGTAGTGTCACAGCCAAAAGTTTGAAAATCTAGATACGTATTAACAAAGGATGATTCTAATTTGCATTTCGTGTTCATTTGTGGCAGTCCACTTTGATTGTCTGGATAATGTCTGCAGTTTTTGTTAATATGCTTTGTGTGCTGTCTCACAGCTGTTTGTATAATATTGCATTAAACAGGTGCAAACAATGGTCGTTTTTTTTAATTGTTCTCATCTTCTAATTTTGTTTCAGTGCAAATTCAAAAGTTGGGCTAATAAGCAACTGAACAAAAAGTTGATTGTCAAAATCGATGTCTGAAAATGTACAAAAATGTATACCCACATAACCTGGACACTAATAACTCACTGGACACTGGAAACTATTTCTAGCTTGTTTTCAAACTTTTGGTCACAATCACTGATAGTGCTCTGATGACTGGCGTGATGGATTTCGGCCTCTCTAAATCCATCTTCCTTCTCTTTCTGGCTCTTGCAGATGGCTGTCCGAACCGATGTAATGGAAATGGACAGTGTCTGCTGGGTCAAAACAGCTGGCACTGTGAATGCAAGACTGGATGGAGAGGCAGCGGCTGCAATGTCGCCATGGAGACTTCATGTGCAGACAACAAAGACAATGAAGGAGGTGAGAGATCTTTTGTTTTATTGTATTTCATGCTGTAATGGGATGAGAGTGACTGTTTAGTACATTCAGTCGTTTGTGGTTCTGGAGGTTAATATGCAATTATAAAGCGATGTGGCAACTTTTTGTTTGTATCTATACCCTTTTTTCACAATTCGTGTAAATTTCATAGGAATAAGCTAACCTTTCTCTCAGAAAATAACTAGAGCTAGACTGTTGGCTTTTATCTGAAATGATGGATTTAAAAAAGCAAGTCCGATGTTCTGTAGTAACTGATTTAATTCAAAGCCTAAAGGTGAGGGAAAGAAGAAAGCACTTTTCGATCTCTTTGGTAAATGAATACTGGAACAGAGATGAAATTTAAATCCAACATCGTTGTGTTCAAAATGTACAAGAACACTTTGATGAAACACCTCTTGTTTAACAGATGAAGAATGTTCCCTTTTTTTCGACAGAGAAGCAGATGAAGAGAGAAATCTTTTGCAGCCCTAGGCAGCTCTGATTGATTGTGCACCATCATAATATGACATTACTCATCACACCGCTGTTTCCTTTCTTCTAGATGGTCTGACTGACTGTATGGATCCAGACTGCTGTATCCAAAGTCCCTGCCAGAACAGTCCGCTTTGTAGAGGGTCCAGGGATCCCTTACAGGTCATTCAGCAGGGCCAGCACCCTGAGCAGAAAGTCCGCTCCTTCTATGACCGTGTCAAGATGCTAGTGGGCCGGGACAGCACGCATATAATCCCTGCAGACAATCCATTTAACGCAAGGTAACTTGCTTTATTGCGCACAACAACTTCCTACCTGCTGGGTTGGTAAATGTCATGTCTCTTGCATTGTACGGTAGAAGAAAAATGAAATATCCACTGAAGTGCACACAACTTATGCTATATCTGTTGAGAGAAAATTGAGTGCTAGGATAGTTATTGTCAGTTCTGTGTTATTTTGTAACCCCAGAGCTATTTTTGAGGAACTGTGTTGATTGTTGTCAGTGGTGCTACAACATCTTCCTGTCTCTTTCTACTGTATTTCTTGGAAAGACTGACAGATGTGTTGACTAACGGGAAATTTATGGGATTTTTTTGACAGCAGTTGTTGGATTGATGATATCGCTTTGGATTTATTGGTTATCGAGCAGCTGATGTCTTCTTGTTTGTTCTCTGTTCTCCAGTCTGGCATCACTGATCAGAGGGCAGGTGGTGACAACAGATGGAACCCCACTGGTGGGAGTTAATGTGTCGTTTGCGAAGTACCCGCAGTACGGCTACACCCTCACACGCCAGGATGGAACGTAAGTTTACCGTAGTACTCATCCCAACCAGGGTTGTGCGCAAAGAATTGACTTGCTTTTTAAATTGTACTTCAACTGAGAAGTGAGGAAGCAAACTGAATGACAAAATGCTATTTAAATTTGAATGTAACTCAATTTTTTATCTAGAAAAGCAGTTTGTAAAGTCAAACTTTGAATGTTGGCTTGACAGCCTTGTTTAAATGTTGTGAAAAAATGTTTTAAAATGCTTAAGATTTCAAGGTTTATTGGATGGATGGATGGACAGACAGACAGGTGTCTTGTGGCCATTTCAATTCAAATTCACACTTATGAACTGAAAGGAAGCCAATTCTTCAATTCTGAGTTTTGCCCAACCCTGGTACCTACACATCCAAGCCGATCATTCAAGCAACAAACAACCCTTTCCCCTCTGAAACACTGATTATTTCTGCCACCGAGCTTTATTTTGTGACTTACTTATTTACATAAGCTTCTAGTGATTTAGAGAGCTACATGCTAACTGAACAAATCTTTATTAGATTCATTTAGTGCCGAGTAAATTCAGTCTTTTCATCGAAATGACTGCAATCTATCAAAACAATGAATTATCCCTCCCAGCGAGATGGCATTTTTAATGGTAAAAGCACTCAGAATGTAATGGTGCTATCAATAACGGAGAATAACACAAGTACATATTTGTTTTTGGTTTTGTTTGGTTTTTTGCTCTCTGTTTGCCTTTCCCACTTCCTTTCGCTCTGTGTCATTAGATTTGACCTCATTGCCAATGGTGGAGCCTCTCTCACCCTCCGATTCGAGCGGGCTCCATTTTTGGGTCAAGAGCGCACAGTGTGGCTCCCATGGAACATTTTCTATGCCATGGACACTCTGATGTTGAAGACAGAAGAGAACACAATCCCGAGCTGTGACCTCAGCGGCTTTGTGAGGCCTGATCCTGTGGTGGTGGCCTCCCCCCTTTCCTCTTTCTTCAGTTCCAGGCCAGGAGAGAGGTCCATCATTCCAGAGACACAGGTGTGATGAGAGCCCCACTTCCTTGAAACCTTCATTACTGTAATTTGCAGATTAATGCGTTTTGTACTGATGGGATTCTTCAATTAGTCTTCACCCAAATCCCAAATATTGCTCTTTTTTCACTTTATTCATGTTCCTTCACCACTCTCTCTGGTCATTAAATTAGTTGACAGGTTGTTAACCTGACGAAACTCACAGGTCATCCCTCATCAACCATTTCACTCTAATTATACTCTTTTTTTGCATTTCTTCTTCCTCTCAGTCTTTCTTCCACCCTCTGACCTTGCTAATCATTTCCTTTTCTTGTTTGAAAATACCCTTTTCCTATGACATAAAAGTCATTCCTGTATCTGTCTGCCAGGTTCTGCATGAGCAGCTAGAGATTCCTGGCACCAGTCTGAAGCTCTGTCACCTGAGTTCACGGACCTCAGGTTACCGCTCCTTGCTCAAGATCACCATGACTCAAGCCGTGGTGCCACTCAGCCTGGTCAAAGTCCATCTGATGGTTGCCGTGGAGGGCCATCTCTTCCAGAAGTGGTTCCACGCTTCACCCAACCTCGCCTACACCTTTATCTGGGACAAGACCGATGCATACGGTCAGCGTGTCTACGGCCTCTCTGATGCAGTGGGTAAGCACACATGATTGATTGTGACTAGGTGCGTGGCTTATTTATTAGCACACATGCTCCAATGGTATTATCCCATTACATTTACTGTTCTTATAAACATATAATTATTTTGACCTCCAAGCTAATATTTTATCAAAAAATCTATTGGTTGATGTCTATGAGCACATGCTTACTGAAAAACATTCATATTCAGTAATTACTAGCACTTCGCGATGACGCGTTTTGACTCTGTCAGTGTCTATTTTGTGCTCACAATGTGAATAATCTACAACGGGTAAAAATATCAGCTGTGTGGATGCTAGGGCTATCGATTTCTAGTTTTTAATCGATCTTTGTTTTGATGAACGAAGATCATTTACATGACAACAGCGTTTTGTGTGCAGACACGTAGTGTTTTTTACAAAGTGACATCATCAATTACTGGCCTGGCATGCATAATACAGCGTTTTATTCGTTTTTGTGGATCCATGTGAATGGGAATCGTTTTGATAGTGTTGTCATCTGTATATGAAACTTTTCAAAAACGCAAAGGAAAAACATTTTCATTTTTAGTACATCGTTGTCATGTAAACGTACCCTGAGTCTACGCTGTTTTCAGTTGAACCGCTTTTTGCTTAGTTCATTTTGGTATGAAATTCTGCCAATTTGATAATGAAATGTAAACAAACAAATGTCATTTTGAAGCTCTTAAATGTGACACATCACTGTAGCCTCCTCAGTTCAAGCAGCACGTGAACCGATTTTCTTCCTCTTTATTACTAGCTATAACACAAAGTAAACATTAATGATCAGAAGGTTTGTTGAAAGAAACAGTTACTGAAATATTAAGTCTAATTTAATCTCCAATTAGTGTTTCAAACATAGAAAGACATCAATAAAACAGCTTGTAAGCAATGTCACGTAATGTTACATTTACCTCAGGAAAACCATTCAGTGTCAGTAGCTCGATAGTTAGCCTTATGTGCAGTTTAAATGTTATATACAGCTCAGTTTTTGAGTGTTGATTAGTGAATATATGGAGTAATTGTTCATTAAACTTTATTTCTAGTTTTGGTTTTCTGCTAAATTGAAACTTTAATTTTTGGTTTTGTTGTTTCAGTTAAAAACTTAAATTTGGTCCATCACTACTGTAAATACAAAGTTTGGCGCAATGGAAATAGGCATGACTTTCAGTTCAGAACATTGACAGAAAAGGAATATAACAGTAAAATATAAGTTATGCGCTGGCAAATGCATTAAATACATCTCTCAAGCACATTAAACTGCACAAGCACTCTGTCAGCACTTGACATGGTACCCGGCCCACATTAAACTCTCCTCTTATAAGCCTCTTTTGAAACGGTTAATGTAAAGTGCTCTCATGCTTTGAACAGCTTGGGTTGTGTGCTTTCACCATTTTTCAAATTCGTCTTATCATACAAACATGCTTTTCACTACCTTAAGTGACGTTACTGACAGATGTTCTCCACATCACAACACACAAATCCAACTAATCCATTATAAAAATGTTTTAAAAAAACTGTCACCCTCCAGATTGGCTTGTGACACTGTGAAATTCACCCGTCAGATTTTAAATTTATCCACGTTTGGCGCTTGAAGGGTGTTCATTTGGGACGCTGGCCGAGTTTAATGACGGTTCAGCATCCAGGACACACACCAGTTAAGCAGGCATGGGTAATCGGTCACTCTGACTGAACATAGTGAGAGTTAACACATCAGACAGGATTTGAGCTCATGCGTGTGAACGTAGGACCCAAAGATCATTCAGCCTGACCATCCCTGTCAGAGAAACACACAGGTTCAGAGAGCAGCCGCAGTGAGCCAAGGGAAACGCAGAGAACAGCACTCAGTCTAGTGTGACCTCCTTATAACACCCACTAATCTCTCTTTGTCTTTCCGCTGCTTTCTCAGCCTGTCTACCTTCCAGCTCTCTACATCTTTTTCATTTATATTTTGAGGTACCCACTGTCCCACTCGCGTCAACACCGCTATAAATTCTCACCTGCCTCATCGGTATATCTCCATATATATTTATGCTAATGGATTCATGGAGTTGTGCTCCACTTTTCAAGAACTAGAAGCAAAGTTTTTTGTGGAAACACGGATCTTGCAATGACCCTGTGGCAGCAGCACAGATCACAGATTCTGTTGGAGAAGTGAAAGCTGAAGTCATGTCCAGCCACGGGGTGTCTGAACAAATCACGTTCACACTTTACCGAGGTGCTTTGTGGTTGTGAAAGCACCCAAGCTGCGGTGATTTGTGAAGGCTTGCCCAGAACCCTATATGTCCTACTTCTGCCCAGCAGTCCACAAAGCTGGAAAGAGAAATGTTGTGATGATTGTTGCAGGGTCATTTATAGCTAACAGTTGCCTCCTATGTGTATCTCTAAGTGCTGAATTTTGATTGTTTCTCTAAATGTTCTGGCTTTTAATTTGGCATGTGGTTTTCAAATAAATATTTATATTCTTCCTCACTGTTTCCCAGCTAGACTCCCCATCCAATCTGCTTGCATTGTATGTAAATTAATCATCTCTAATATTGGCCTGTCATGTAGTTAATTAAATGCTGTTTTGATACATTTTGTGTACTCTCTTTTTTCCCTTTCTCTCTCTCTCTCTCACTCTCTCACTCTCTCTGTGTTTGTCCCCAAGTCTCTGTGGGGTATGAATATGAATCATGTCCTAGTCTAGTGCTGTGGGAGAAGAGGACGGCTATGCTTCAAGGCTATGAGCTGGAACCTTCCAATCTGGGCGGATGGTCTCTGGACAAACACCATATACTCAACCTGCGCAGTGGTATGTGCCTCATGTTCTTGTACAGCGGCAAATGCACCAGTTTTTTGTCTTTGTGTGTGTGTGTGTACTGGTATTCACTATGTTATGGGGACCAAATGTCCCAACAAGTATAGTAATACCAGTAAATTTTCACCTTGTGGGGACATTTTTTAGGTCCCCATGAGGAAACAAGATTATAAATCACACAGAATGAAGTGTTTTGAAAATCTAAAAATGCAGAAAGTTTCCTGTGAAGGGTAGGTTCAGGTGGAGGGTTAGGGTAACGGGATAGAAAATACAGTTTGTACAGTATAAAAACTATTATGCCTATGGAATGTCCCCATAATGAAAGGAATACCTTTGTGTGTGTGTGTGTGTGTGTGTTTGAGGGGCATGAGTGGCAGTCCTGGCTCACTTGATCCCATGATGAAATAAGACATACATTGTGACGTGTTAGACAAGTGATATAGTTATAGTATATGATGCACTTACTATAGAGAGAGAGTTTATGAAAGATTTCAAATAAATGCCATTCTTTCTTTCTATCACGGTTTCCAAGACTGGAGTGATGGCTGCTGAAAATTCAACTTTGCCATCACAAGAAAAGTTCACATTTTAATATATATTTACATAGAAAACAGTTATTTTAAATTGTAATATTCCACAATATTACTGTATTTACTGTATTTTTATCAAATAAATGAAGCCTCGATGAGCATAAGAGGCTTCGTTTAAACATTAAATCTTACCAAAGTAATATAGTGTACTTGAAAAAAAAATGTGGTTATTATTTGATAAATATTTGAACTTTGATAAAGGTTTGATAATTATGTGAGCTGTAATAAGTATTATACTCACTTAAAAATAGAACCTTAATTTTCACAGATTAAACCTTAAAACAACTTTTCTGGACCAGTCTCAGACCAGCTGAGACTGAGATTTGAGGCGAGGAGAGAGCCATCTCTCTCTGACACAGGAAGTCTGATGTGATGTGATGCCTGGCTGCTTTCAGTGGAAGAGCTTGTCATTTTGATCAATAATTTAATGTAATGCTCCGAAAATGTGGTTGTAATGGCTCAGATAAACAGCTTTTACTAAAAATGGACTTTTGAATATGGCACTTTCTTTTTCCATTTAAATGGTTATTGTTTCTTTATTCATCTGACACCAGGCATCCTTCATAAGGGCAGCGGTGAGAACGTCTTTGTGTCCCAGCAGCCACCCATCATCACAAGCATCATGGGTAATGGGCGTCGACGAAGCATCTCTTGCCCGAGCTGTAATGGCCTGGCTGATGGAAATAAGCTGTTGGCACCTGTAGCCCTGGCAGCAGGCATTGATGGCAGCCTCTACGTCGGAGACTTGAATTTCGTACGCAGAGTTTATCCCAACCTCAATACCACACGCATACTGGAGCTCAGGTACTGAGAAAGGACCAAAGAAGACTTTTGTTTTAAGGCCCGTTCACACCAAGGATGATAACAATTATGGTTCACACTTTTTAAGGTCCAATTCTCACTATTAATTATGACTTTTGCCTCAAACTCCTAAGTTGCTGCTTAATAATAGTTAGTAAGGTTGTTTTTAACTTTAGGTTTAAGGGATCTAAAATATGGTCATGCAGAATAAGGCATTAATATGTGCTTCATAAGTACTAATAAACAGCCAATATGCTAGTAATATGCATGCTAATAAGCAACTAGTTAATAGTGAGAACTGGTCCTTAAAATAAAGGGTTATCCTATAACGCTAATTAACTATAATTTAAAACAGTTTTAAAAATCATTCTAAATTGTCCACACCACAATAATGACAACAGCTCAAGGGAACAAAATAATTGGAATCACTTTCATTTTTCCAGTTAATGATAAATCATTAGCAGCCAATTAGAATTCATCCTGCTTTTAAAGTGGCAGACGACAAAACTGCAGCACATGCTTATAATAATCAGAATGTTATTGTGCATCGGTGTAGATGCTAATATAGTTTTTATTATAGTTATCGTCCTTAGTGAGAATAGCCTTTTGCTCATAACTTTAAGTGCCCCTATTATGGGTAATGAAAGGTTCATATTTTGGTTTTGGGAGTCCCCAACAACAGGTTGACATGCATGCAAGGTCAAAAAACACTCTGTCTTATAATATGCATTTATTTTTACATTATTTGCTCAACGACTCCCAAACGATTCGTTTAACGATAAATTTTTCCAAACCCCTCCTTAGTGTGACGCTAATCTGCGGTGATTGGTCCAATTGGTCTCATTTTCATTTCATCATGCCTCATAAAGCCGCGTTTGTGAGCGCAGTACTGCTTTGTGTACAGCGTTACCGGGGAAACCGCTATTTTTACCGCTCCAAAAGCGGCACCTAGTGGCAAAAAATGTATTTGCATTTATGTATTTTCATTCAGACCAAGAAAAGACCAACAAGTGGGCGGGCAATATGCTAATGTTTCATGTTGACGTCAACATGAAACGGCTTGGGATTCGTTTTAAAAACGACTGGCTTCAATGATTCAGAGTCGACTCAATTGTTTGAGAGACAATAACTTTATACACGGTGCACTTTCAGATTTAAAACTATGCTGGATGTTTTTATTCACTTAGAGCTGTGTTACACACTGCATGAAAGGTAATTAAATAAAATTCATAATAGGGGAACTTTAATTGTTCTTTTTTTTTTGCAGTTTACTCAAATAAAATATACAATATATATTTTGTCATATTATATTGGAATCATAATTGTGATTCTTGTTCTTTTCTTCATTTACAGAAATAAGGATTTTCGACACAGGTGAGCCTTTAACTTGATTTCTTTCTCTTTAACGTAAAATTGGATTATTCACTGAATATAAATATAGCGATAGAGCAACACATTATGCCTAATTGTGTAATTGCAGCACTGACTTAGTAATGACCTCATTTTTCGTAGTAACAACCCGACTCATAAGTACTTCTTGGCTGTGGACCCAGTCTCTGGGGCTCTGTTCATCTCTGACACAAATTCTCGGCGAATCTACAAGGTGCGATCGCTCACAGGGGGAAGACTGCTGGCCGACAATGCCGATGTGGTGGCGGGCACAGGAGAACAGTGCCTGCCCTTCGACGAGAGATGCGGGGACGGGGGCAAAGCTGTAGAAGCCACTCTAATGAGCCCCAAAGGTGAGGTTGAAGCATTGAAGAAAACCAAAACAGAAGCTAGATCTTATTGCTTATTGCATGGGTTATCCCCTTCACATCAGATGAAATCACACTAACGTCTTCACATGTGTCTGTCTGAGGTGAAGAAATGTTTCTGCAGGCTGTCTTTACATCTGCTTCCTTTGTAGCAGTGACACCTAACATGGATAAAAAGAGCCTTATCCTCCAGCTGCTTCCACAATCACAGAGAACGTTCAACCTTAAGCTATTAATTAATTTCTGAATGTGCTATGGGGAGTGCGAGTCTCCGGCTTCGATTATCGGAGTCTCTTGGTATTCTCTCTCTCTCTGTCTGTTTCTCAAAGATAATGTTACTTAATGTGGTGGCTCTTTTAACTCTCATGTTACAGTTCAGAGCTGTAAGCGAGCATATTTCTGTATTATACAGCGTTGGTGTTTAGGTAGATCACACAGAAAGAAAGAGTTCTATTGAATATTTCAGATGTTCTTAGTGAGTTTAGGAGGAAGAGTTCTGATTAAAGTCACGATGAAATGGAAGTAGTGACAGATCTTTTCTTCCAGATTTGAATGCAAATTTTTGTTTAAATGGTTGGAGAAGTCTTAAGATGAAATCTCAACAATGTCTCACACTGTACATAATACAATATCACCAAACTCTGTAATCAAGAGATCTTGATATGAACTTGAATATTTCTCATCGAATGCTCTATTACTGTATGTCAGTTGTCTCATTTGTGTCTATTTTTTCCTCATAAAGTGGAGTAACATCTGAGACAAAGTTGATACTTTGAGGAAACGGATCTCAGAACCGTGAAAGAGCAGCAACTGAACAATTAAATTTTCCTCCGGAGATTCTCTTTAGCTTGTGTTATATATAAACTGAAATTATTTGTATTGGGTTTATACCAGTTCATGGTTTCTTGCGTTAATGACCAGTGATAATAAATAAATGATAATGATAAATAAACATTCAAAAAATATCTAAACTTATTCAATCTGTTTTTATGAATTTCGCATACACATAATGGGACACAAATTCAAAGTTCAACAATCAAATTGAATTCGGTTCAAACTGGAATTAAAGCACAACGTATCCAAGCAAAAACAAATATAGCAGCGAGAAAGGAAAAGATAAAGGTACAATGATAAGTTAGAGCAGGTTTTAAAAGTGAAATCCAGGTTTGGTGTAAGGAAAAAATAGCCAGTCTGACACCAAACTGTCAAGGATGTCACATTGTCACATTTTCTGTATGTGACGTTGAATTTGAGCTTCTGGAGAGAGAGAGTAGAGAGGTGACAGACTACACAGGCCTCATTACCGATTCCCAAATGACTTCACAGTGAAAAGGCTCAGTCAAGTGCACTCAGTCTCTCCCTTCATGCTTTGTCTCCCCGTCTTTTTGTTCAAACCCCTCTGCATCATACACCTACACAGGTCCATTCTATGAGCATCTTCTTGTCAGCACTTTGAGATATTCTCGTCTGCTCTGCCTTCGGTGTCTGATAAGGGGAATTGATGGGTTGACACAGGAGTGACGCCTGATGAACGTGTATTATTTGCTAGCTTATATAGGACAGGGGCTTGGGAGGGAAAGACGAATTGAGCAGAGCCTGAAGATAAACTTAGAACAGGTTGAAACCAGATCAAAGATTCACTTGCTCTGATCATTAAGAAAAGCAGAAGACAAAACTAAACAAGTCTGACAGGCAAAGGGTTTGTGAGTCTGTGTCACCCCTGAACTTCCTGCTTGACAATTTACCTGTTTGTTTTTCTCTTTTCAGGTATTGCTGTAGATAAAAACGGGCTTATGTATTTTGTGGACGCCACCATGATTAGGAAGGTGGATCAAAACGGCATCATCTCTACTCTCCTGGGCGCCAATGACCTCACTGCTGTGCGCCCACTGAGCTGTGATTCCAGCATGGATGTCAGTCAGGTCAGCAAGCCGACAGCCCATGTTATAAATTACTCACAGGCAGAAACAGGAACTTGGATGGTTCATTTGATCATAAAATCTACTCCTTTAAATCCTGAATCTTCAAAACAGACCCTCTGAGCTGAAAGTGCAGATATGCAAATATTAATCATGTCTAGCAGGCTTGCAAAAACTTGATCAGAAGCCCAGAAAATGATACAAGAAAAGTGCATGGTTAATCTGAAAGCTTAATTTAAAAACTTTCAATTATTTTTTACCCAGGTACGCTTGGAGTGGCCCACCGACTTGGCAGTTAACCCCATGGATAACTCTCTGTATGTGCTAGAGAACAACGTTATCCTACGCATCACTGAAAACCACCAAGTGAGTATCATCGCAGGGCGTCCCATGCACTGCCAGGTGCCTGGCATTGACTATTCCCTTAGCAAACTGGCCATCCACTCCGCCCTGGAGAGCGCCACGGCTATCGCCATCTCCCATACAGGTGTGCTTTACATCACCGAGACAGACGAGAAGAAGATCAACCGTGTTCGGCAAGTTAGCACCAACGGAGAGATGTCACTTCTGGCTGGCGCTGCGTCGGAGTGCGACTGCAAGAATGACGTCAACTGTAACTGCTTTGCAGGAGACGATGAATACGCTACGGATGCCAGCCTTAACTCCCCCATGTCTCTGGCCGTCTCACCGGATGGCACGCTTTACATTGCAGACCTCAATAACATTCGGATCCGTGCTGTGCGCACTAACCGACCAGGGCCTTCAGCGCTGGGCCGATATGAGGTTGCGTCCCCTCAGGAACAAGAGCTGTATGTGTTTAACGAGGAGGGTCTCCACCTACAGACCATCAGTCTTGTGACGGGTCTGCCCCTCTACAACTTCAGCTACGGCCCTGATGGAGAGCTGGCCACAGTGGTGGATAACTGCAATAATACAGTGAAAGTGCGGAGGGACGGGGCAGGGCAGGGTGGAGCGGGACTGCTCAGGCTCATCCTGCAGCCTGAGAATCAGGTGGTTACGCTGGGACTGGATCCTGCAGGAAGCCTGCGCTCCATCTCTGCTCTCAACCAGGAGATCGTTCTGCTGGGATACAATGGAAACACTGGCCTGTTGGCGACCAAGGCTGATGAGACTGGCTGGACAACCTTTTATGAGTAAGTTGCCGTGTGTCTGTTTATGACATGTTGCCTGTACATTTAATTCTTTGTATATGCATGAAACGCTTAACAGAAGTTTTATATAGCATTGTCTCCACATTCCAATCAGCCGAAGGAGAAAAGCAAAGATGTTTTTTTTTCAGCTAGAATGTATTAAATTGACCATTATGACAGTAATGATATGTATTTTAGCATTAATCATTTTTCTTATTATATAGTATATATATAATAGTTTTCCTGAGCTTAAAAGACTTCTTCAGAAACAGTAAAAAAATATTACCAACCCCAAACTTTTGTCATGGAACACACTGTGGTTGAAAGCTAGAGATATCCAGTAGGAATATCTATTTGACTTTGAAAAGAGCGCTGGATAATTTCCAAAGGAACCTGAAGATCTTGATTAACTTTTTCAGGTGTGTTTGATTAGAGTTGGAACACTCTGCAGGAAAGTAATCTCCAGGAACAGGACAGCGCAAGCTTGCTCCTGAGAATGCAGAATTCCCCACACTCCACTGCACTGGCACAGACATCAGCCAGACTGTGACAGATCTGTGGCAGGATCCAGATCTGCTCCCTAATATAATGTTACACAGAGAGAGAGATAGGCAGGGATAGCACTAAAACCTCTATGGAGTGATTGTCTAGAGGATACAGTTTTTTTTGAGATGGTCAAAGATTGAACACAATTATAATTGTTTCCAGTGCTTTGCTTTTCAAATATGAACTTTAAAATGGCTTTTGCTAACATTTAGTCTATTTTCAGGTATGACAGTGAAGGGAGACTAACCAATGTGACGTACCCCACGGGGATGGTTACAAGTCTGCATAGGGAGATCGAAAAATCCATCAATATTGACATCGAGAGCTCCAACAGAGATGATGACATCACTGTTATCACTAATCTTTCGTCAGTAGAAGCTTCTTATACTGTTGTGCAAGGTATGTCTGCTCAGTTGTCCTTTTTGAATTTCTATTTTGGGTTTCAGAAATCATTTTGTAAATGATTCTGTGCTCAGTTTGGTTGGTTTCATATTTCATTTCATTTTTAGCTTAATTGTTTTATATACCAGTGCATACAAACTTACAAGATAACAAAAGTACTGCCAAAGCCAAAGTACTGTAAGATTCAGTGCAGAAACAGCATTTGTTTTCTCTCCCATGCCTAGCGCTCCAGTTGTGTTTTGCTGTGATGCATATGATTCGAGACAAATTCATTACCTTATCCCAAGCAAATATTCACTGTCTTCCATCTGTCCTCGATCACAAACCCCACTGTCCCAAAGCTTATTTCAGCTGTTAAGATGAAAGGACTGAAAGACAAAGGGAGAGAGCAAAAATGTTTTACTTCCTTCCCATGGCAGACTAAACCAAAAACTCAAACTTCAATACAACCAGACATAACACAGGACGAGGGAGGAACCTTTTGAATGGATTACAGAGGATTTAATCCATAGGGAACGTTCCTCAGATCATGCATTTAAATCTAACCTTGACACGCTTATGGGAAGAATAATAAATTGACTAAATGCCTCTAAGAGATTCCATATAAATTATAAACTATATTATCTCAAATTATGGACGTACCTTTGCTCATAAATTAGTTTCATGGTTTGTCATTTATTTATAGTGGATGTTCGGAAGCATAATAAATGTTTGTGGCACTCTGAAACAAAGGGATCTGAGGCTCCACATAATTTGTTATAAACAAAGCACTGCTCTTTGTTATCTTTTATGATCTTAAGAAAGACAGCCAGACTGTTTTTGAGCTGATGAATGCCCCGCAGCCCTTTCATGAGTTCAAAATAAATCAAGCCTTTTTTTGTAGTTGTCGTTTTGTTCTGTTGTCATGTTGAAAATTTGTTGTGTAATATTTTTTGTTCTTAATTTAATGGTAATTTTATGTAACGCCATTGCCCTCTGCAGATCAAGTACGAAACAGCTACCAACTGTGTAACAATGGCACTCTGAGAGTAATGTATGCCAATGGGATGGGCATCAGCTACCACACTGAGCCCCATATCTTGGCAGGATCAGTGAGTCCCACCATCGGCCGGAGGAACATCACCCTTCCCACTGATAACAGTCTGAACTCCATTGAGTGGAGGCTGCGCAAAGAACTGTCCAAGGGCAAGGTCACTGTGTTTGGCAGGAAACTTCGGGTGGGCACTCGAGATTTTAAAATCATTACTGTAATACATTAGTTTATCATATCAGTGCACAATGCAAGCAAAGAATCCTGCTTGATTATCTAACAGGTAACTAAATCATTTCACCAAACGGAGAGGTTTTCATATCAAATATTTGTGCAATTTGCAGGCACATGGGCGCAACCTCCTGTCGATAGATTTTGATAGGAACACACGGACTGAGAAGATCTATGACGACCATAGGAAGTTCACCCTGAGAATCACGTATGATGCCCAGGGCAGGCCAGCGATATGGCAGCCGAGCAGCAGCCTTGCAGTGGTGAATGTGTCTTACTCCAGCACAGGCCAGCTAGTGGGGCTGCACCGAGGGAGTATGAGTGAGAGGACGGAGTTTGACCCACAGGGCCGAATCCTCTCACGCTCTTTTGTGGATGGAAAGGTCTGGAGCTACAGTTACCTGGACAAGGTGAGATTATAGATTAAAGTGAAATTAGGTTAAAGATTATTAGGATTATTGTTTTCCGAATTTAGAATTTTTAAAGAAAATATTTTTACTGGCTTTGCTTTGAAATGTTTAAATATACTGAAAAAGTAAAATAAAATGTGTAATCAGATAATATACCATGAATTAGGATTTTTTTTTTTTTACTTTTCTTTTTAACTGGACATTTTTTCTTCTTGTTTTAAGCGTGTATTTAACGCAATTGAGTGAGATTTAAGCTTAAAAATGGGGGCAAAAAACAATATTAATGATTAGAAATCAACAACAAAAAATCAAAAATCATGTTTAATTATAATCCAGGTTGGATCAAAAAAATAATTTTTGATAAAAAAAAAAAATCAAAAATGAATTAACTGAAATTAAAATGAAAACTGAAAATAAAGTAAAAGCTATTTCAAAATATTACTAATTATAGTTTATAAATAATACTAAAATAACAGACACATTAATACCATAAAATAACAGGTTATAATAGATAAGTAGATTATATATATATATATATATATAAATAGAACACAGTATATTTCAAAATTCGATTTGTAAATTAAATTTTCCAACATTTAGTACAGAAACTCTGATGTATGATTTTATTTTGAATTGTTAAAGATGTTATTGCTAATTAATATCAATGTGATAATGACATTCTGAAAATACCTCTCTCTACAGTCCATGGTGCTGCTCCTGCAGAGTCAGAGACAATACATCTTTGAATTCGATGCCTCTAACCGCATCACGGCTGTCACCATGCCTAGCGTTGCCCGTCACACCATGTTCACTCACGTCTCCATCGGCTACATCCGCAACACCTACAACCCGCCAGAGAGCAACGCGTCCATCATCTACGACTTCAGCGAGGACGGGCGTCCCCAGGCCGCCTACTTCCTGGGTACTGGCCGTCGCGTCCTCTACAAATACGGCAAGCTGGCCAAGCTCTCCGAGATCTTGTATGACAGCACAGCCATCACCTTTGGCTACGATGAGACAGCCGGCGTGCTAAAAATGGTCAACTTGCAAAGCGGTGGCTTTTCGTGCACGATTCGCTATCGTAAAATGGGTCCCCTGATCGACAAACAGATCTATCGCTTCTCGGAGGAAGGTATGGTGAACGCGCGCTTCGACTACACCTACCATGACAATAGTTTCAGAATCGCAAGCATGAAGCCAGTAATCAGCGAGACGCCACTTCCTGTGGATCTATACCGCTACGACGAGATCTCTGGAAAAGTGGAGCATTTTGGAAAGTTTGGAGTCATCTACTACGACATCAATCAGATAATCACCACTGCCGTCATGACCCTCAGCAAGCATTTCGATGCTCACGGACGAATCAAAGAGGTTCAGTACGAGATCTTCCGCTCTCTCATGTACTGGATGACGGTGCAGTACGACAACATGGGCAGAGTAATCAAGCGAGAGCTAAAGATCGGCCCGTACGCCAACACCACTCAGTACCGCTATGAATACGATGGTGATGGACAGCTCAGTGGTGTCAAGGTGAACGATTGGTCCACTTGGCGCTACAGCTACGACTTAAACGGCAACCTACACCTGCTCAACCCGGGCAACAGCGCCCGACTCATGCCGCTCCGCTATGACCTACGAGACCGCATCACACGGCTCGGTGACGTGCAGTACCGTCTGGACGAAGACGGTTACCTCAGTCAGAGGGGCGGTGACGTGTTTGACTACAACTCTAAAGGCCAGCTGGTGCGCGCCTATAGCCGTGCAGCTGGAGTATGGAGTGTCCAGTACCGTTACGATGGACTTGGACGCAGGGTGTCTACTAAGAACAGTCTGGGTCAGCACCTCCAGTTCTTTTATGCTGACCTGAACAACCCGACTCGGGTCACACATGTGTTCAACCACTCCAGCTCAGAAATCAGCTCTTTGTACTATGACCTGCAGGGCCATCTGTTTGCCATGGAGGTGAGCAGTGGGGAGGAGTACTACATTGCCTCTGACAACACTGGTACGCCACTGGCTGTCTTCAGCAGCAACGGGCAGATGATAAAACAGGTGCAATACACCGCTTATGGGGAGGTGTACCACGACTCCAACCCTGAGTTCCAGCTCGTCATCGGCTTCCACGGTGGGCTTTATGACACGCTAACCAAGCTGGTGCACTTCACACATAGAGACTATGATGTTTTAGCGGCCAGATGGACATCGCCTGATTACACCATGTGGCAGAAGATCGGAAAAGAACTGGCACCCTTCAACCTGTACATGTTCAAGAATAACAACCCTCTCAGTGATATGCTGGATGTCAAGAATTATGTCACAGGTGAGAGTTTATAATTGGGTGCCTTTGCAGATTAGCCAGCTCGTTAGTTATTTAGGTCTGTCAATTTTACATGTTAATTAAATGCTAGTATTGGTTTATAAAATAATGTGATAAAATAGTTTTTATTTTTGCTAATGTTCAATCATATGGAAATAAAAAAAACAATATATTCAGAGACTGTATAAGGCAGAGATGGTCCACTCTTACATAGATGAATAGGAGAAATTATATGAAGTATATAATATTTTACACTACTATTTATACACTATACAATACTATTTATAAAGTCAAGTTAAAGATTTCTATTTCATATATATATATATATATATATATATATTATATCTTATATATCTAATATAACTATCTTTTCATCATAGAATCCTGATAAGAGTGTATCACAGTTTCCACAAAATACATTAAGCATCACAACCATCTTCAATTTTAATAATATTTCACAATATTATATTGTTTTTATTTTTTGTATTTTCAACTTTGGTGAGCATAAGAAGCTTTCTTTCAGAAACATAAAAAAAATATCTCTGACCCCAACTGACCCCTTTTGAATGATAATGTGTATATGTACAGTAAATAAATATTTGTTCCATTTTTTTATTTATTTCTAAAGCCAAATTTAGTCCATTCAGTGTTTTTCTCTGCCACAAAATGTCATAATTTGGTCCATATTCTCAACGAATATTTATAACTTTTTTGGCATATAATGCAATTAAATTGATTAATTTATTATTATTATTATTATTATTATTATTATTACTTCATTCAGCCCTATAATCAGTTAATTGCCCTTTTTATTGCAAAACCCAAAAGCTTAAGCTTAAACTCCTTTTCTATGTATTTCTCATTGCAGATGTGAAGAGTTGGCTGGTCATGTTTGGCTTCCAGCTTAGCAACATTATCCCAGGCTTTCCCAGACACATACACTATTTCGTGGATCCGCCGTATGAGCTCTTCGCCAGTCAAGAAAGTGAAAATGGGCAGGTACGTCACCACATTAATACCATAGTAAATCCTCAGGATACAATTACAATTACTTTTGTATTTCCAAGGTAGCAAATCAGTGAATATTGGACTAGGTGATCTTGCCTGCATTTACCAAGATTTTCTCCTTGCAGCTGATAACTGGAGTTCAGCAGGAAGCCGAACGGCACAACCAAGCGTTCATGGCTCTGGAGGGACGGCTTCTTGACAAAGAGCGCAAGACCAAACATGAGAAACCAGGCCACTGGTTTGGCACGAGTACGCCCATCATTGGACGAGGAGTGATGCTGGCAGTGAAAGAAGGCCGCGTGGTCACAGGGGTCTCCAGCATGGCCAGCGATGACAGCAGGAAGGTGGCTCTAGTGCTCAATAACGCCATCTACTTAGACGGGACGCACTACACGCAGGATGGCCATGACTGTCATTTCTTCATGAAGATAGGCTCAGCTGACAGTGACCTTCTAGCTTTGGGACTCACCAATGGACGCTCGGCACTGGAAAGCGGGATCAACGTGACGGTAAGCGGTCGCTCGCGACGAGGGATCACCGTTGAGTTCCGGGTTCCAGCTCTTTCTCTAAGCGTGCGTTACGGTTTGGCGTCGGACGTCCTGGATGAGGAGAGAGCCCGGCTGTTGGAGTTGGCGCGGCAGAGGGCGTTATTGGGAGCCTGGCTGCGAGAGCAGCAACAGGCACAGGATAATAAAGAGGGAAGCCGCTTGTGGACTGAAGGAGAGAGACAGCAGCTCCTTTCAACAGGGAAAGTACAGGGGTACGACGGGTACTACATTTTACCCGTGGAACAGTATCCTGAACTAGCGGACAGCAGTTTCAACATCCAGTTCCTGAGACAGAATGAGATGGGGAAGAGGTAACAGTCCAAACGTCTGTTATCCTGTTTCTTTATATTTCGCTTTCTCTCCGCTTATACCTTTACCGTTTTCTGTTTTTTTTTCTCGATCTTTTTCTCTCTCTTACTCCGTCTTTCTCTTTTTCCCTTGCTTTTTTTTCTGTTATCTCCTGAACCCACGGAGAATAATTGAACTAATGGGGAAACTCACTGAACGCTGCAGGGACTTTTAAAAGAAGAACATTTAAAAACTTTGTTAATACTGCCTCTGGCAAAAAAAGAACAATTTGAAAGACCTCGTCTTTGTTTTTCAACAATGGACGTCAAAAAGCACTGAGAAACTGAAAAACAAAGCAGAGCTACTTTTGCAGAAATATGAAAAATCCCCTTTTTAAAAAAGAATAGATATTTTGACCCATATTTTTTGGGTTACCGAGAGGATGTTGGTGCCAGATGGTACGCTTGTGATCTGGATCGGAGAGGTGCTGCGAGTCTCACGCGCCGCAGGAGAGGCCCAGTCTCGACGTCAGAACTGAGGAGTAACATCCATCAAGAGAAATGTCAGTCTCAGGCCTCACATTCTTCACAGCTAAACTGTCAGTTGCCACTGCAGCAAGTCCCATCATCTACAGACTGTTTCTTTAAGAAAATTCCAGTGGAGTAAAAGTGATGAAAACAACCAAGTCTGATATAGTTTGTTTCATCACTGATAGAAAAGTACTTGCATTGTATCTGATAACAGTGAAGTTCTGAGTGTGCTTTAGATGCGATAGTTTTGTACGTCCCAGTCGCATTAGAGTAACGAGACCTTCACCAGGGCACTTCTGTATAGAGATATCAGAAAAAAACACCCACAGTCTCCAGATTGAAAGGTTACTAGTGTCAGAAACTATTTATTTTTACTTAGTTCGTTTTAATTTTTATCATTCATAGTACTCTATGACAATCATAAAGGAGTCACTGCTTTTAACTACAAAGATAAACATTGATGGTTGAGTTTATTTTCCTTTGTACAATATGTAGTAATTTTTCATTTTTGTATTAATTTAGATTTTTTTGCCTCAAAGCAAATTCTAGTCATACACAGAAATAATTTATGTAAAGTGTTTATCAAATGGTTTATACTTTAAATAAAGTTTAAAACTGTGAAACTTGTTTTTCAAAATATATCTGTATGTACAGTGTATAGATTTACCTTTATGCAGCACAGTAGAATATTGTTCATAATATCAAGTTTTATATTTCTAACAGAAGGTGGCTTGTTATGTGCAAATCAACAGCTGGTATTAAAACACTAGAATTTTGTGACACTCAGATATCACAGATGAATAATATTGATACCCCGTTTGATGTTCTGTTTTAGGTTTTGTTTTTTTTTTAATGCAGAAAAGTTGCTGTACTAGAACCCGAACCATAGAAATTGATTCTTTCCACTGTGAAGAGACTCATTATGGATGTCATGATGTACCAAATCAGTATTGAGGGATGATTCTTACTCAAGTGAGACTCTTCTGAGACCTTACCAATAAATAGTTTAATTCATGTGAGTTCGGCTAGTCTCATGTATTTGTAAATGTCTTCACACAGCTATTATATATAATATGTCATTTTTCCACATCTCATGGGGTGGAGAGTGTGCCATTTCCTTACAGAAATTGACCATGGTAAACTATAGTTTCTGCCAAATAACCAGATTTTACTGAAGTGAAACTTTGGTAACATTAACAAAATGTACCATGATACTGCAGTAAAACTATGGCTTTTTGGATATGCACAATGGTAATACTATGTTTTACTTTATTGAGCATATCCAAATGTAATTTATGGAAGCGCCACAGAATAAAAAAGTAATGGTGATTTATTTATTTTTGGAATTCTATATAGTTTATATCTCACAATTCAGATTCGTAATTCTGACTTTTCTTTCTCTTGACTTTCTTCTTTTTCTTTCTCTTGACTTTCTTCTTTTTCTTTCTCTTTCTTTCTTTCTTTCTTTCTTTCTTTCTTTCTGTCTCTGACTTTCTTTATCACAGTTTCGAGTTTGCATCTTGCAATTCTGAGTTTACATTTTGCAATTCTGTTGTTTTTTGTTTTGTTTTTGTTTTCCCTGCCATGGAATAAATGAATTGTGAGATTGCGAGTTATAAACTAAGAATTGCAAGGTAAAAAAGTCACACAATCTTCTGTGTGTACCTTATTACAGTACTATAAAGTGGTATTTACCATCTGATTCTATCAGTATCTCCCATACAATGTTGGAAGGAGATTCCATCTGACTTTATTATGGTTTGCAGCAGTAACAATAACCTGGTAGCTCGTCAAAGGTATTTTGGTGGAATCTGTGTACTATGGTAAATTAGGTGCTGCTTTGTTACACAATCAAGAATTCAAATTGAGCTGGTGATTGTAAGCACTAGTTCATAATAATAGGCTAATAAAAATAGTTACTAGCGCACTTTCTATTATTATTATTATTATTATTACTACTACTACTAGTAGTAGTAGTAGTAGTAGTAGTAGGAATATTATTCAGATACACAACCAGTGCACAATTCGCAATGTAGCGATCTTTTATTTTGAAGCTACGGGTCTTTTATTGGGAAGTTAGCTCAAGGAGGGGCGCTTTTAAAAAGGTTGAAAGATGGAGTATAGATTGGAGATTTAAAATATCAGCTAGTAAGTCATGTTATATGATATTTAGTAGAAGAAAAGAAATTCCTAATGATATTGTTTTACCAATATATGGCAAACCGCTAGAACAAGTGAAAGAATTCAAATATTTAGGTATCTGGCTGGATAGCAGGTACACTTGGAAAAAACATATAGAAGAAGTGGAGAAAAAGTGTAGGAAAACTTTAAATGTTATGAGGGCAATAGCTGGTAAAGAATGGGGAGCAGAAAGATCTTCAATGGGGCGCTTTCAAGGCGGTGCCTTTTTGCACGGCCACGCCTACGCTAAGAGTACAGCCAATATGAGATGGCTTCTGAAAACTTGAATGACAAGGAAGTAAAGGTGCGGCCACCCGGTGAATCTAAACGTCAACATGGCAAGCAGCGGTAAGTGTGTTTTCGTGTAAAAGTAAGAAACATAGTTTTAGGGATTTAAATAAAGCGACGTGTGAAACTGCAGTTTTGTTCACTGTTTCTGTGTACTGGAAACCTGTGCGTGTCGATTTCGAGCAGCAGCTGTTGTTTTCATTGCTTGTAGTCAAGGGTGACAGTGCCCAGGTGCACCTGTGCTAAACACTTCCGTTATCTCTACATTTGATTACTTACGGTATAACAAGCTGAACGTTGTGTGCACTTACTAATATCCTGCGGTGCCTGTTCTCTCAATTCCATTTTATGCATCTCCTAATATAATGCATGTCTTGTGTCCTGGTAGTTATTTCCATTACTTGTTTGCTTTGAAGAGCTTGAAACCTTGACGTAAGGATGACTTGCAGAAATTGAAACGTTTTATGTGTATGGAATACAACACTTTCTTGATGTGTTTGTTATGTTTTAATTATTATTTGCGTGTAAAAACATATTCTGGAACATCCATAGCCTATATCAAAACAATTAAAATCGAAAAAGATTTAGTAAGGTAACCAAACAATTTACAAACAAACAAAAAAAATCTCGCGTAAATGGTATCATTGGTGTAAAAAATAGTTTTTTTAGTCATCAAATATTTACCATGTTAATTATAAAATATATATAAACTTTAATGTAGTATTATTTTTGGTGATTACTGAGCTCAATCAACAGTGTTTATTGCGTGACAGGACTCTAGGCATAACTGCTTGATTGTACACATTCCTCTCTGCTATAGATAAGGAGATTTCTGTAGTATTATTTTTGGTGATTACTGAGCTCAATCAACAGTGTTTATTGCGTGACAGGACTCTATCATAACTGCTTGATTGTACACATTCCTCTCTGCTATAGATAAGGAGATTTCCTACAGCAATCTCAAAGATCTTTTGGCAAAGGGTTCAGGGCTTCTTGTGGATGTGCGCACTAAAGATGAGGTAGACAGAGGGCATATTCCAGGCTCCATTCACATCCCAGGTAGGAGAGAAGATGGACAAATAAGTATGCATTACTTCCAAAAACTAACTAACTAATTATCTTTCGATATTACCACATTTTAGGTTACTTAAAAGTATTGTACATTAAGTGTATTGACCATATGTACTAAAACGTGTACTAAAAGCAATTTCCCATGTATTTATTTATTTTATTTTAGTGGAAAGTGTAGAAAGTGACATGTCCCTGGAAGCAGCTGAATTCCAGTCCAAGTTTGGCGTAGTTAAGCCATCTCTGGACAGCTCTGAACTGGTTTTCCACTGTCAGATGGGAAGACGTGGAGCTCTTGCCACAGAGAAAGCCAGAAACCTAGGCTTCAAGAAGTAAGAAACTTGGAATCATGAATGCTTAAACAATCACAGTTTTACTGAAGCTGTAACAATAATTCCTTCTCTCTCCTCAGTTCCCGTAATTATGCAGGGGGCTACAAGGAATGGTCAGAAAAAGGTGGCAAGTGACAATCCAGTCAGAACTCCTGGAACACTCTGAAGATTCCAGCTTAAATCAGGGACCTTTTTACTCTCATACAACTAATCATAATATTTGTACATGTATTTTAATAAAGTCTGATTATTAAACAAAGAAATGTTGTCCTTGTCTTGGCCTTTTAACCTCCTGGGACCCAGGCATAGACTTGTGTCCTCTGTAGAGGACATAATATTTTAGTGAATTTCTCTGAGACCATACATGCCACAGTCTGGATGTCCTGTACAGGGCTGCGTTTCCCAAATGCATCTTAAGCCTAAGTATATCGTAGACCCATTGCCACCAATGGTCTCTACTATCAACTTGGCTTCTGAGAAATGCAGCCCAGAGCACATTCATTTAGGGATATCAGATGTTTGGAGGTTTGATCAGAAACACTCCCTCTCCTTGGTCTTTAAGAATGACTGATATTGACAGAATGATCAAATTTACCACTCTTAGGGAAATATAATAATATTGGTAACACTTTACAATAAGGTTCCATTAGTTAATGTTAATGTATTGACTAACATGAATGAACAATGAGCAATACATTTATTACAGTATTTATTAATCTTTGTTAATGTTAGTTAATGAAAATACAGTCGTTCATTGTTAGTTCATGTTAAATCGCAGTGCATTAACTAATGTTAACAAGCAGAACTTTTGATTTTAATAATGCATTAGTAAATTATGAAATGAACATTAACTAAGATTAATAAATGCTGTAGAAGTATTGTTCATTCATTGTTCATGTTAACTAAAGTAGTTTATTAATGTTAACTAATGAACCTTATTGTAAAGTGTTACCATAATATTTTGCAATTATTGAAATCGGAGTCTTTTTCAAATTGTTTGTCGTAAAAAAAAAAAATCTCAGAAAAATGTTATGGGGTTTCAAATCAGAAACTGACTTTTTGTTATGAAACGGGACATAACTTCCATACATGTCTTCTGTAGAGGACACCAGGACAAACATCATGTTAATCAGGCATTTTGGGGAAACAAAACAACTCAATAGGGAAAGAAATTATAAATCAATATTCCTATGAAATATGAGATATTCTTATGAAAAAGTTGCCTAGTTATTACTCCAATTATAACACTTCTTTTTTCATTATGGTTTGCCCCAAGAACACATTAATATACAAATTAGATGCAATGTATAGATGCATTAAATGGGAATACCAATTTATGGACATTTCACGCACATATAGCATAAAGTAAAATAGTATATCAAATCATTCTGTTATATCTTTCATAACATAGTTGAGAATAATCTTTGTACAAAGTTTGGTTAAAAATAGCCTGAAACCTATTGGTGCATGAAAAAATAAAACATTGTTTTTGCCTATACATGTCTTTTCATATTTATTTATTTATTTTTATTATTTGTTGAATAACTTAGTCCTGGCGTCCTCTACAAAGAACATAGAATAAAATAGAAATTGATTCGGTCCGCACCGGTTCAGATTCAATATCCGATGATTCAGTTACATTGTTTCCGATGCTTTTCCTCTTTTAATCGCGCATGCGCGTCAGCTTTCACCCTGCAGCAACACTTCTAAGCGAAATATTGATATGGTGCTAATTAATGGACACTTTCATAGATCTCTGCCAATCATTCGGGTAATATTCTGCGATGTCTCTAAATGGTTAGATGCAGTGTTAGATCAGTGTTTGAATCACATAATACGCGTGTGTGAATTAAGTTGATTGTTTGTGCATTCAACGTCTTACTAGCGCGTCTGTCTGATTTAGATATGTATATGCAGATATTATATAGCCTACCCCAACATGAAAATTGTTCCGTAGTCATGATGACTCACATGAGGTGTTTATATCTAGTGTGCCCCTCTGGGTGGGGCCGTTGCTCCACGCGGCCTCCAGGCTGAAGACGACAGACCGGATAAAACGAAGAAAAGTTTACCGTTTAATCCAGCGTCAGTTAGTAAGAGTCACTTTGTATTTTATTATCATTTTTTCTTTATTTTGGCTGATCTTAACGCAAATGTTGACAGCTGAACAGGATCGGCTGTAGCACACGTTACAAACCCACTTACGTGTACCCAGCTGAGCTCAAAGAGATGGTCCGAGCAGCCTTTCCAAACGACATCTGTGACTATGACGACCCCTGTCACGAAAATGTGAGATATATATACAGTTAAAGGGATAGTTCACCCAAAATAAAATAAAATTTAATGTTTATCTGCTTAACCCCAGGGCATCCAAGATGTAGGTGACTTTGTTTCTTCAGTAGAACATATATGATGATTTTTAACTTTAACCGTTGCAGTCTATCAGTCGTATAATGCATGGCAATGGTAACAAAATCTATGAGAGTAAAAAAAACATGCACAGACAAATCCAAATTAAACCCTGCGGCTCGTGACGACACACCAAATTTTCATTTTTGGGTGAACTATCCCTTTAAGTTAATGTTGCCTTATCGTTCTTATTAATTTAGACTCTAAGTGTAGCCTAATGATAACTACTGCTTTACGTTTGTTGCAGGTTGTTGCCATCACTATGGATGACTTGAAAAGGATGGAGTTCTCTTGACCATTTCAACTGCATTTGCAGTCTAGCTAAATGGTTTTATACATTTTTATAGTAGCCTATAAAGTTTTCATATGTTCATAATATAGAAATGTAAATTGTGATCATTTACGATGTTTAAAGTACATTTATTTATATAAAGTTGTTCGGTTTCCTTAAATAGGCTTTTGTAATATTTTTCAGCGAGTTTTTCCTAAACATTTGTTAATGTTGTAATTTATTACCGCAGTGTGTGGAGAGTTTGCTTTTCACCGCGATAACCACAATTCCTCTTTGTTTGCGTCACAGGCTGTGATGTACAGGAGAAAAAATATATAGTATTTATCCTAAATGTTTGGTTTAAGTATAATTTGTTAAATGTTTGATGCAGGGCCGGTTCTAGACATTAGGAGGCCCTAGGCAAAATTCATGTCGGAGGCCCCCCACCCCCCCCAATAAAAAGCATTTGAAACAAATATGATTCCTAACCTTTTTATTTATACAACATTTCATTTTAAATTTTGTATATTTTTACTTGTACAGTACAAACATTTGGAAACATTATTTTAAATGTTTTTGAAAGACGTCTCTTATGGTCATCAAGCCTGTCTGATCAAAAATACAGAAAAAACAACAATAATATTGTGAAATATTATTACAATTTAAAATAATGTTTTTCTATTTTACTATATTTCTGTGATGCAAAACTGAATTTTCATCAGCCATTACTGCAGTCTTCAGTGTCACATGATCGTACATAAATCATTCTATGCTGATTTATTATCAATGTTAGAAACAGTGCTTAATGTTTATTTTATAACCTGTGATATTTTTTTCAAGATTTTTTGATTATTAAAAAGATGTTTAAAAATAAAAATATAGATCTTTTATGACAAACTTAAAGTCTTTACTATCACTGTTTATCTAACACGTTCTTGCTGAATATTACTGTTTTTTTCTGTATTTTTGATCAAATAAATACAGGCTTGATAACAATAAGACATGTCTTTCTTTTATGTTCTTTTAAAAACATTAAAAATAGTAACGGGTCCAAACTTTCGACCGGTACTGTATGTACATATTAATCAAGCTTTATCTAAGGTAATCTCTTTTTTTGTTTGATGAAGATGTTATTGTTGTTATTATTTAGCTGTTTTATTTAATTTATTTTATTTAATCACAGTTCCAGAATACCACTTCAGTAAGTGCTTTTATCATTTATTTCCTAGCTGGGTATGCGGGATTTCCCCGTCCCATTTAATCAATATTGACTACATATATTGTCATATTATTAATTACAACAATATGATATTATGTATTGCATTGTTACCTTAAATATGACACACATATATATATATATATATATATATATATACACAAATCAAGAGGAACAGAAAGACACGATCGATACTAAGCAGAAAAAGGTTTAGTTAGTTGAAACTGAAATTATAAGTGTTATGTTAGAGCCGAATTTAGAATATAGGCTACACCTGAGATCCTTTATTTGAACCATTAAAACGTGTTTTAGTGTGTTTGTATTAAAAAGCAATCTTCTCTGCTTTTATTTTTTGTAGCTATTTTGCTAGTCAGCTCCCGACGCGATGTCATTCATCGTACGCGCACATTCAAAGCGTCGCGTCTGGGCGCGTCAACGTTACGTTACGGTTACGCAAACATTCAGAAGGTAGGACCCGCTTTGAAACTGCAACATTAATTGGTTTAATTGCAGATGAGTGACAATTCAACTACAGCCAATGAACAATGAGGCTAGTATTTCTGCCCGTCTTGACTGGTGGACTAGCATATAGGAGATGCTACGGTGATGGAGGCCCCTCTTCAAAGCCTAGGCAATCGCCTGCTCTGCCTATAGCTAGCGCCGGCCCTGGTTTGATGTTGTAAATGTGTTAACCGGCATAAAGTTGGTTTGACGTTGGAAGTTCGATATTCGCAAATTTAGGGACCGTCTCTAAAGTTACATACGACAGTGGTTTACACGGTTCTAACTTAAATAGCATTTGAAGAGAATCATTTACAGTCATAAAACCAACTGTAACGTGTTCATCTAGGTGTCAGCAATAGCCTAATGCACACCTTTTATATTTTTTATATTTATAGAAATAAACTCGATCTGTAAAATTGCTATTTGCACTATTGTAAATGGGCTCATACACAAAATATGCCATAATTTAAAGCTCAATAACATTTGAAAAGAATAATTTACAGTTATAAGTCCAACTGTAAAGTGTTCATCTAGGTGTCAGCTATAATGCACACCTTTTAGATTTTTGATATTTATTCAAATAAACTCAAATCATCTGTCAAATTGCTATTTTCACTACTGTAAATGGGCTCATGCACAAAATATGTCATAATTTAAAGCTCAATAGCATTCGAAGAGAATAATTTAGTCATAAAGCCAACTGTAAAGTTTTCATCTAGGTGCCAGCTATAATGCACACCTTTTAGATTTTTGATATTTGTTCAAATATACTGTCAAATAATATGAAAATATCGCTTTGTATTTCACTACTAAAGAACGACTCTGACAGTCTGGCTTACTGAGTAACTAACCTGCTGGACTCCATGACAACGTACACAGTAACCTACACGAACACCACAGCAGTGGAGTTATTTCCATTACTGACTGTTTAACACAAGGCATTACATAATTCGAGGTATGTATATGGACCTATATTTATTAGTGCAAGAATATGTAATGCATGCTGTATATGGTGTTTAAATGAATTATAGCGTCATGGTCTGCATAAACTCTATCTTTCTTATAGCTTTTTTTCAACAAGTGCTGCATACAAAACTTTAGAAAATGCCTCCAGAAGGGAAATCTGACATGGAGCGGATTGGCATCTTTAAAGAGATGGGATACATCTCAATAGGGGACAAATATACACCTTTTATTTACCGTAAGTGTAACCAAGATTAAACTTTAATATGAACTGCAGTGGCTGGTGCAGTGCTGAGTTTGTTGAGTAGAGCGCGCCAGCAAATTACACCATGGTAACCTACGTCAAAACATAATTTTCACCACAGAAAAATCGTGAATGAACACGATATTTCCTGAAAATAGTGCAGCTTTCATAAACTTAATCATTTCTATTTATTTATCAATGACACTTCTAACCAAAGAAATAGTTTTAGCCGCATAGTCTATTGTAACAATCGTAGGTTTGCCAGTTTTTGGAGAGTTGTTGCTACTTGTCACACTTTTACAACAGCGAATATTTCTCGTGACAGTTTCTGTAAAGGCACACTAAAAGTCTTGGCTAAAGGGGTCATATGATGCGATGTCATGTTTTCCTTTCTCTTTGGAGTGTTAAAAGCTGTTCGTGCATACAGAAGATCCGTAAATTAGCAAAGATTACAGTCTCAAACCCAAAGAGATATTCTTTATAAAAGTGAACCCTCAGCCACGCCTTCCTAAAATGCCTGGTTCAAACACGCCCCCACATATCTACGTCACTGTGTGGGAAGATTTGCATAACACTGGCCAAATGTTCAGGCAAAGAAAGAAGGCTTAACTTTTATTATCGCGGTAGTATTGTTGCCGCTGCCGCCGTCGTGGAGACGCTGTGTTTCGTGGCAAAAGCTACTTTGTTTTTTGCCTTCCAAAAGAGGACATCAGTGGGTAAAGGGTTAGTTCACCCAAAAATGAAAATTAGGCTGAGTTTTACTCACCCCCGAGGCATATTTACAACACTGTTCCAAAACAGTACAACCCAAATATTCCAGTGTGTGCAGCGCATTTTACTGAGAAAAGTTTCCTGACCCTGGTAAGGGGCGTAACATTTCTGTCACACGCTTGAGGAATTCGGCCAATCACAACGCACTAGATAGCTGGCCAATCAGAGCACAACTCGCTATTCAGATTTAGGAGCTTTGTAAAAATGTTTCAGAAAGGCGGAGCATAGAGGAGCAACAAAAATGTACAGTATGTGGAAAATAATGTGTTTTTTTAACCTTAAACCGCGTAAACACATTGCATTACACCAAATACACAAAATAATGTTCTTTTTTAGCAACATAATATAACCCCTTTAATAACTTGTACTAAACTGAAATGTTATGAAACACTGAGATAAAACCTTCACTATGCTGGCTTAGCTGACTGTCAGAATGTATGTCAGTGTGGTTATCTTGTGTTTACCTAATAGCCTTTAAAAAAATATAATGTTTGCAACCAACATAGGTTACCAAATCTCTGCTAGAGACAATAAGCACTTGTGTGACTGGATAAACATGTACAGTACAAAATGCACACAGGATAATGTGACAACTATTCTATAATATAGAAAATAAAAAAGTTAAAAATTTTGCAAAACTTTTAATGCCTGTCTAATGCTCTTTGTTTGTCATGGAAAGGCCCATTTAATGACTCCGCATACAAGAACAAACAGATGCTATCAGGAGGAGTTCAATCAAAGAGTGCGCTCCCGGCGGGATACTTCGACACACAGTTTAAGAGGATCTTTGAGCGAGAGGCGCTCACAGACCCTGTCAAAATAGAAAGACAGTACAGGATACAACGGGCCAAAAAGAACATAGGCAAAGCCTTTCTTCCCAGTAATGGAGAGAAAAAAACGTGAGTCCTTCTTTCTTTCTGTGGCACACGACTGTATCGACACACAAAGAGGATCTTTGAGCGAGAGGCGCTCACAGACCCTGTCAAAATAGAAAGACAGTACAGGATACAACGGGCCAAAAAGAACATAGGCAAAGCCTTTCTTCCCAGTAATGGAGAGAAAAAAACGTGTGTCCGTCCT